TCGAGAGGTTTAAAAACGAATTATAGGTGCACAAACAATTATAGGTGTTGCACGATTTGTGCGTCACAATAAACAAGACGACGAATATCGCACCGAGAGCCAGGGAAAATAAATGATTTATAGAGCAAAACAATGGCTGTGTGCTAGTGTTTTAAAAAACATCGGTTAATTTCCTTACTGTCCTCTTCAATATAAGATGTATACCGGTAACTGCAGTTTGTCATCCGAAAAAAATTACATTCCAAAACTCAAATGGGAAATGGTTTTGATCCCATGCATTTTAACGAAAGCTCAATTGACTTTCTTTCCTTTGATTTGTAAAAAGGCAAGATTTTTCGAGTGGTAAAACTGAGTTCTCCAATTTGAGTGGATGGAGAGGGAACTACTCTCGCGCCAAGAGAGTAGCGCCATAAAATTTTTGTTTCAATTTTTTTTTTCTTCCAAAGATGTGCCAGGGTTTTCCCGAAAACGTTCCTCTGTAGGAAAAATGAGGCAAAGCCAAAAAAAAAATGCTTGCGGCTCGAAAATTCCCCTCAGTCCCCTCCCCCATTTAACTTTCTAATTTTCGTCCATTCAAAATAATGATGATTACAGGAGTACCCCCCTCCCCCGAAACGGGACAGTTCCTGTGACCTTAGTGCAATATTGGTGTAATTTTTTATTTAAATTTTTTATTTAATTTTTTACAGTAAAAACCCGCTTATAGGAACCTAATTTTTTCCAAGCAAGGCTAAGAAGGTTATTATAAAAGACGGTGCTTAACTGGAAAATTTGGCTACTCAGGTTCTTTAACAGGTTCTCGTTTTCAAATAGACTACGAGCAGTCTCCCGACTAGAACGAACGGGAAAAAAGCGGACGTGATCGACGAGCGATGAGGGGCGAAGCTGCGATCTGCGAGCATCAGGAGCGCCAGTCACAGCGAAAAGAGATCGCGGCTTCGCCACTCACAGCTTGTCGATCACGCTCACTTTTTTTCGCGTTCGTGCCAGTCGAATTTCACAGCAAAAGAGAGACTGCTCGCAGTCTAGTTTTCAAAATAGATGAGTTGTTTGTCATTGGGGGGCGCGGCCTATTTTTGGCATTGTATGCATATGTTAAAAACCCAAGTATATATTTACCAACTTTAATACATGGAACTGTATTGTTGCTTTGACTGAATTTCTCAAAATAAGAACCTGTTTCAAAGTTGTAGGCTAAAACAGGTTCTCGTGTGAAAGGGGTTTTAATGGAGAATTTTAGTCTAACATTTTCAGTTAATCTATTTTTTTCTTAAAATCTAGGTTCTTAGAAAAGGTTTTTTTACTGTACCTGAAATAAATTCAAACATTGCAATGGTCTAGCACACTCGAGTTATTTTACGCGAGGTATTTTGAGCATTTAACGTCTTTTTCCCTAATTCTCAACTAGGCTATAATTGGAACGAGATAAAGTAATGGCGACCGCAACTTCTCGGGAATAAAAGTAAAAAAAAAAAAAGATTTCTGATGGTCGTAATGGATTGAAATTTAGCAAGGTATGTTAGACAGTTATATTTTACACGAAATTATAAAAAAAAATGAATATCAACAATTTGATCGTAGTAGCACTTTAAAAACATTACTTTCCCTCTACACTTCTGGGGGTGGAAGTCTACGAGAAGTTTCCATTTACCCACTTTATTTTTAGCAATTTTTAAAGCTTTGAATATCTATCATCTTGAGGCCTCCTCTATCGTAATCATTGAACATTTGTCCTTTTAATTTTGTCCCCTTTGCTCTCCAAGAGAAAGTCATATAGCAGGTTACTGATTTCCTTAAGTGCACCCTGATGCGTTGGAAGAGAGGTTAAAACATGTACAATTTGGGATACTGCAAAAGCTTTTATGATCGTGATTTTACCTAGAGCAGTAAGTCTCCTAGCAGATCAGCTGTTTAGGCTGTTTTTTTACTCTCTCAATTTTTTCTGAAAAAAATGGCACCGCCAGAACATGCCAAAACGCTTTAAAGGTAGTGCAAAATGCGATGGAAAATTTAAAGCTATGCGATGTTTGGAGAATTTTTAATCCAAATGGCTAGAGGTTTATCTGGAGGCAAAGACAGCCAGATATTCATTGCAGACTTGATTTCGTTTTAGTAAGTCAAACTACAGTATTTACCCGCTTATAAGAATCTGAGTTCTCAGTTCTAAATGTACTTGTAGAATGTACTCATGTGAATTCTAATTCAAAACCAACATGTAAATATTACCGTTTTTCATACATTATTTATACCAAATTTAGAGATTTTTTATAGTTCATACATGTTTGAGTTCACTACTTTTGAGAGTCATGTCTTTTTTCTTTGCCTGAAGATCTTTAAGGTTCATTTTCTAAAATAAGAACCTGTTTCAAATTTAGGCTAACAGGTTCTTAAATTCTAGGTTCTTATAAGCGGATAAGTACTGTATTTCAGATAGGTGGGTGCCGCGGAGTTCCCTATTTAAGGATAAAAAAAATTGATACCGTTGTTAAGGCCCAAACCCCCCAAAAAGACGCCCTATTCTAGGTAAAATAACAATAATAAACAAACAAACAAACAACGGCTGACCTCGCACTGCAAAAAGGAGTCTTTATAAAATCGCTTTGCTTATGAGTTTAACCGCCTACTTCAGTTTCAAAAGATCATTTGCTTTTCGTTTAGCTGAGCAATTACACACTGTAATTTTAGCTGATACAATTTAGGTGGATCCCATTACCGACATAAACTGGACAGTTAATATCGGTAACGTTATACAAAGAATATAACGTTGAGGCCCTGTTAGAGCTATTAGAGCTAAGGAATAATAATTATTTAAGGTATGTTGGATAAAGGGCAGCATGACATCAGGGATAAAGCATAAGCCAGGTAGTTTTAGGAATAATGGGAATACGTTAGGGTACAACATTAATAACACAAGAGCGAACAACTTTACGATGTATTTTTCCATTACCAAATCGGAACATATATCGAAAAAGCCTCGCACTCATGCTTGACCGATGCTTGACCGATACTTTACCGGCAGTTGATCACTACATATCGGCCGATGCATCGGTCGACTATCGGTCGACTATCGATTCTCGACCGATAGTCGGTCGATTCTCGACCGATAGTCGACCGATCCGTTTTGTAAGTTACAGATCTTCGTTTTTCCCCCTTATAGCCTTGCGCGACTATCGACCGATAGTCGGTCGATTCTCGACCGATAGTCGACCAATATATCGGTCGACTGTCGGCCGATATGTCGACCGAGGCCACCTATAGTACACATGATCCACCTAGGGTAGATTGAGGTTAAGAACAAGTCTCTGTAAGAATCAAACATCTTGGGAAACGAAAATTTTCAACCCCCCTTCAAATTTTGCATGCAGGTAGGCGCTCAAGGGGGATGCACAAAAATGCTCTCTTTAAAGGGCGCAGCACTCTTGTTGCCATGGTTACAACGGCTGCTTGTGCGAGGCCTGGGGCCTCATTTTCATGCAAAATACATGACGCTGTATTTCCCCATGAAGTTTCCAAGTTGATTCTTAAAGAGACTTGTTCTTAACTGGGTAGAACGTGGTTAACTCTTGGTAGCTGTGGGTTATCGTGGTAGAGCATGGTTACAACAAGATTAACTTAAGGTAGAAGGGGTTAACGTGGAAGAATAAAGCTGACTAGGACATATTGGAAGTCTTACATGAGGCTTATAGCATGAATATTGTCAGCCATTTTGTCGTCTATATGGCATTCAGCCATGGGGTATATACCTTATATTGTGTTACCGGCCGCGTCCGGAAATTGTGTTACATTTTGTCCGAAATAAGGAACAATACGCACGCAGAACGTTTGCTCTATATTAAAAAATGTGCGCTCTTTTAGCTTCTTTTCACTAATTTGCACTATCATCAGTCATTAGTATGATCGGTTCACCACAGTCGACTACTAGATACCTCTTACTAACCGAGTTCGAGGTCTGTACTGGACGGGCTGAGTTTTTCAGTCCCTTCCTTTATTTATGGCTGAAACACAAAGCGCGCAAGGCCATAAGGGGGAAAAACGAGGATCTGTAACTTACAAAACGGATCGGCAAGACGAGGTTTGTAAGGCTAAAAGATAAAATAATTAACTATTAAGAGAAAAAAAGGTATAAAGGCTGAAAACTAATAAAAGTCAGCCGAGCGTCTGTAGAGTATCGGCTGAGAGTCGACAGTCTATCGGCCGACTAGCCGTCGCGATAAGGATGCTGCCGGCTGACACACGATTTTGACCCCTAAAAGGAACGACAAGCTTCCCCCACAAAGATTTGCCCCCAAGTGGAAAAAAAGTGATTTGCTCAGTCACCCCCACCTCAAAAATCTAATGGTCCGTCCCTAAGGTACCTTTTACATAAATCCAAAATAAGTTTCGTTCAAGAACGAAATGAATTTCATACTGCGTTTACATACAAGATAATTTAGCCTGTAAAAACAAGTATTTATGTCCTTTTCTGTCTTTTTCTATGCTTCCCTCGCTCTTAAAGAGGATTCATACAGACGTAAGTGTCGTACCGCGTTTACATTATTCAGGTACAAAAGGTCGTCCAGAATGAGTGTTTCGTTCTGGAATGAAAACCCTAATAGACTCATTCAGAAATTACTCGTTCTGGATAAATTTTACTCTGGTATCATGTGGCAACCTGACATCCTCTCTTAAGTTACCTACTTACACCATCAGACGTATTTCAACCAAACACGTTTCTCTCAACAATTGATATGAGCAAAGACACTCTTGGAGTCAGTCACTAAATCAAGTCAAGTGGCTTGCCTTGTCAGTGTTTTAGTTTTTAGAAACTTACCACAATAACCTGTCCCCCATGAGTGTCCATAAGATATTGGGTCAACCTGAATGTCTTAAACAAGGTGGGTTACCTGGTTTTTGAAATTTACTGGAAATACAAGGTGTCAAACCAGTTATAGTAGATAGCTAGTTTGCATTACCCATGCAGCTGTTATCCGTCAGATAATACGGCTACAATGTGGTACCTTTATTTTTCAAACAATAAGTAAAACACGGCCAACACTGTATGTCGCAAATTCATGTAAAAGCTCTAAAAATGACACAGGTCAGATGTAAGTCCTTAATAAAGACAAACTTGTAGTTTACAATGAAGAGTTGAAAGCAAGTGCAATAATAGCTTAGACGAGAGAGAATAACTTCCAAGCATAATTTCACACAAAAAATGCAAGTGATCAAGGGGTAGTATAAAATAATTCCTTACCAGATCAAGCAGTAAAATTTATGGCAGGTAAGTAAACATAAATTGAAGGATGATCTGTGGATAGCCTACATGCAGCTGTACCCGCCTTATTTTCACTACTGCTCATTAATAAGTAGTGTTCATAACTGTGAAGATCACTTCCATATTAGTTTCTTTATCTGCAGTTCACATATTTTCATATATTTACAGTCTGAAAATTTGTGGTAGTTGCCTTGGTCTGCTGATCTCTTAATTTGGTGTGAGGGTGTTTCTAAAAATTCATTCAAGTCAAAGAGGCATGGTTTTTATAAACAAAAATGAATACATCACACATGCAGAGCAGTCAAGGAAAGCTAATCTTTGAATTTATTGAAAAAATTCATTCAGAACAAGGAAAATTGTACACCATGAATAAGCACCTCTGAGCTTAAGCACTGGTTTGACACACACTTACAGTGAAACATTTACTATATTTTGTAGGCAGATCCCACAACAGGTGAATGGGAGTAATTGCTAAATCTTTCCTCTCAATTTTTTTAGCTGTAAATTAACCCATGTTCAGTAGATGCTGATTATAAAAAAGAGATTAACAAAGATACTGGGCCCATTGGCTCTACAAAGCAGACAACTATGGATCTGAGCTACATCTTAGGTCTGTTTAAGTTTACAATAACTAAATGCTATTCTTTCCACCAGAGGATTGTTCAGATTTGTAAGGTTGCTGATTAGTCACTATGAACGCTTTGGGGGTTAAGAATAAACTGCCATTAGGCAATGCCTTAAATCCATCTAAGGTAACACCCTCAAAAAAAATTTCACTTAGGCATGTTTTCCAGAAAGTTGTGTAGCATTTTAAAAATGGTATTTACTGTACAATCTTGATTGCCATAATCCTGACCACTTTTTCCCCAAATCCTAATTAGTTTCTCTGAGGCTGTAAAGCAGGGTAACCATGAGGGAGTCCAGATCCAGGACCTGTACTGCCAGGACCAAGAAGAATCTGGATAGTAATAAGAAAAAAATGAGAAACACTTGCCTAATTATGCACTTTAGATAGGGAAGAATAATTTCATAAACAAACTGTGATAAATACATGTACCAAAAAATCTACTTAACAGCATTGCCTATCATTGTGTGGAGTTAGTAGCAGCTTCTGGAAAACAAAAGTCCTCAGAAAGGAGATGTGGGTACAGGCTGAGTTTCTTGAACATGTTGAATTGAAATTTGAGTGAACGTGTTCTTGCTTAACTTGAAATCAATTTATTGTAGTACTTGTTATTCAATGGAATGGAATGAGAAAAGGATTGATTCCCTTTGGAACATAACATCTACTTGTTGTTTAAATTAATAGACAATGTTCTACCAATCCTACACGTATATAACTGTTAAACGTTGCAAAGAATTCAAAATGTTAAAAAAAAAAGAAAAAGAAAAGGAAAGAAAAATTGAATTACGGTCAACTCGCCGACGGTCCTACTAGCCGACGCCAACTCGCCGACATATAAAATCGAGTAGAGACGTCGGCGAGTTGGTCCTCAATCCAATACAACTTGTTAGAAGTTAAACATACAGAAAAGTAAACGATATTTAGTAAAAAAAACATTGGCGAACATTGGCGAACATCAAACAGAAGCTTAAACATTGGTTAACATTGGTGAATATAACCAGTGACTATAACAGCTTCAGACGCGAACGAGTTATTGTGCGACAACAACACTGTAAAGACTCATCATGTCAATGGCTCAGATTTAAAAAAAAAACTTAATAATTATTACAATAATTATTGTCTGACCACAACACCGTTCGTGCGTTGACTTTTTACCAAGCGACTTGACTTAAATAAATAAGACCGATTGACATGAGATCCTTATAAACTTTGTTGCAAATAAAAAGAATTGCTTTTTACTAAAGATCTTGTCTAGAAAGCCAAGTTTTCTTTAAAAAATCTGAGCGATTGACATGATGAGTCTTTACAGTGTTGTTGTCACACAATAACTCGTTCGCGTCTGAAGCTGTTAGAGTCATTGGGGATGTTTACTTCGCTCGTTCGCGTCTTAAGCTGTTATAGTCATTGGTGATGTTCCCCAATGTTCACCAATGTTTAAGCTTCTTCTTCACCAATGTTCACCAGTGTTTTTTTACTAGATATCGTTTACTTTTCTGTATGTTTAACTTCTAATAAGTTGTAATGGATTGAGGACCAACTCGCCGACGTCTCTACTCGATTTTATACGTCGGCGAGTTGGCGTCGGCGAATTGACTGGATACCGAAAAATTAAATTATTTAGTGCTTATCCGCTAAATGGAATATGCGTCTAGCCAATGGTTTCAGCCGTGGTTTTAGCATAGAAGAGTATTTTTTAAAAGAACATTTATTTAACAAATGACACAAAACCCTTCACAAGGTTGACACCCCTCTTTTTTGCACCGATCTATGCACATATATGCTGGAACCTGAATTCACCAAAATAAAAGAAACATCATCTTTTTTACACACTTATTGGACTAATAACTGATAAGGCCTTAGAAAAACCTAGAATCTATTGTTTCAGCAAATCCTGCTTGCCTGTTAGGCAACTTGTAATAACAACATGGTAGCCTGATGAGAATTTTCATTACCCTTGGACTATTAGACAGCATTTTTGTTGCATACTGTGGAGTCTTTAAGTTTAAAAACGCTTACTCCAAATATGTAAATTTTTGCAAGAGTCAAGGTGAAAATCTCCAGCTTTTCCTGATCTTGAATGATTTTCTGACCTATGGCAATCATGACAAGCCATATACTAGAATTTCCATTTGTGTATCATATCCGTTTCACTGTTCTTAAAGGTTACTTTCAACTAAATTTGGTCAAAATTTGCAAAATTTTATTTTTAACTCTTTAGTTGGAAGAATCAAATATTTGTTTAATTTGCTGCAAGAAAAAAAAATATGAAATCCCACTGAATCTCAAAACCAAAAGAGTCTTTGATGAACAAGACAATAGTAAGTCTTTCTCTAACTGAGAGGAAAAAAAAATGTTGATAATGTTGACCAGATTTTGTTGTGATTAAACATAACCAAATAAACATGGTATGTAGATTTGTCAGATTTTGATGAAACTTGGCCATTATATTTGTCCCAAGCATAATGTCCCAAGTATAATGAAACCCTAAATATCTTCTAATGTCCAAGTTAAAAATTGATCATCTCAGGAAAAAATTGGAACTGCGAAGAGGCTCACACATCTTATAGGCCAATAATCTGCCTTGGGATAAACTTCATTTTGTTTGAATGTCTCATTGGATGTTCAAGTAAATTAGCCAGAATGTTCCTCAGGTATTAATGCACCAAAGTATGTGAATCTTATACAAAATTCATAATATTTCTCTTGTGATGTCCTGAAACATAACTTTAACATAACTTTTCTTTATAACTGAAATATTTCCTATTGTCCAACTTCAAAATAGATTTCTTAGGAACCAATCAAAATATTGATCTTGCACACTTAACTAGCCTATTATCTGCTGAGTGATACTCTCTTGTTTGTTTGAAGGTCTGTGCTAAAGCAGAGGCTGATAATTCAGTGAGCAAACAGCTTTTGTTTTGTGTTTAAAGGCTTGTGCGTGCCCACCAAAGGGTACCTATTTTGTTGACAGTAACCTCCTTGTTAGCACTGTAATGCTATTATCTTTGTTTAAAAGGTTTTCTCTCAATCTAACTTCTAAGTCCTCTGACTGAAAAGTGCCACAGGATTGTTCTAGTCCATAGGAATGTTTCAATTGATGTTCAATCCCACTGATTATTTCCATAAGATAATAAAACTAGGTCGTGAGCTCTAACTGTTTGCACAGCTTGCATTTCAAATAAGATTGCTGACAATTTTTTTAAGATCCACTGTTCCAGATTTGAGCCTTAACTCAAAATTTTGGTAATACAACAATGTTAAATAAAGACAGTGAGAATCAGTTTGTTAAATCAAAATTGCACGTTTGAGATTAAATAAGTGAGAACTTCATTCATGTAACTTCTGCAAAAGCTACTGAAACATAAGATGAGTTACTTAGATACTCAATAGCATCATGGTTTATTTAACAATGTTATCATCTAAGAGCACAAGTGCCTGTTCAAAATACACACATGGTTACTGGATTCTTACAGCTGGTAACCACAAAGTGGTTTTTTAACTCACTTGTCTTTGCTGTTGAAGTTGTGCTTCTTCTGTTTGAACTCTTTCTACCTCAAAAATAACTGGCAAGGCAAGTACAACAAATGATGTACTCATAATCCAAAGCGATTTCCCTGTGAAGTTGTAGAGCCACCTAGCACCAATAGCCACACCTCTTGCTGCATTTCTGGAGCCTTGACGCACAGATTCTGGAAACATCTCTGTCAAGCCTATAAGTCTCTCTATCAGAGTTTCATCAACATCATCAAGATTCTGAAATGAAAAAAATTTAATTTCAGGTTACTGTCAAAAAAGTCTGGTCAAAATTTACAAAATTTCATTTTTTTGCTCTTCATTTGGTTGAAAGCAGTTACTGTAAAGAGAGCCAGGTGTCACAATGGGAAAGGCTTCCAGCAGAGTGTGGATATTCCGCAATCTCAATTTTGCATATTCTGTTTACATTGCCTCTTGCACTGCACAACAAAATGAAATTTCTGACATATTTCACAACAAAACAAGTATTCATCAAGAAATAAGTCTTTATCAAACAGCCAAAATGAGAAAAGTGGCAGGAGAGCCGAGCCAAGCCGAGCCAAAGAAATCAAAGTAAAGTTTTTCTTTTAACTTGCTCTTCCTTCTGTTTTTCTCAATGAAGTTTGGATTTTGGTTGCTCCATTGTATATTAGTTTTTCCCATTTTGTAAAATGATTTTCCCCGCAAATTTCAAGTTCTTTTTTTTCCAATACTTGCCAGGGGGTTCAAAGTTGCATTTCATTGACCAGCAACAGTATTGACACATGCATGTGAAAAAATTAAAGGTTAGTTTTTATGTGAGTAACTTCTTTTTAAACAAATTAATAGGATATATATGTGGATTTTTATTTCATGAAAATTGACCAGAATGTTCCTCAGGTATTAACCGACCAAAATGTTATTCCTCTTGTGATGCTTCGCAGTGTGATAAGAACTGAAACGTTTACCATAGCCCAACTTCAAAGTAGATTTTCTCAGGAACTAACAAAAATATTGAAAAAGCCTCCCACTCTTTCTTGGCCCTTTATTTGCTGAGTGATATCCTTCCATTTGTTTGGAGGTCTGCAGTAATGCAGAGGCGGGAAATTCAGTGAAGCAAACACTGTCAGTTTTAAGTATAGAGGCTGGCACACCCACCAAAACCAAAAAGTTTTTGCTGTGTTTATAATATATACTTTATAAACTTTACAGTGATATATAGATTTTTTATGGTTTCTGATCAAGTAGCACACAAAGAATGATTTTTCTGAAGGGTACCATATTCTGTTAACAGTAACCTTAAGCACTCAAAAATCCTTTTAAACCTTCATGAAGGAGGCAATTTCTCATTGTATAACATTGATGCCTCATACATAACTTGACCTCACAAGGAAAAATGATCATCTCATTGGTAAATGTTGGATGTGAAATGGTAAACTGCAACTGAGTTCAATAGTATTTAATTGGCTACAGTGTATGTACAATCTTGCACCAGCCATTTGCAAACAGAACATCAGTTTTCACTGCCTTTCCATGTTAGAACAGAACCATTTAGGCTTTGATGTTATTTCAACTTATAATTCTCCAAGTTGAAAGAAAATGATGTCAAGATGTGCTGTCATGCAACTTCCCACCAAGCTACAATGTGGATGATTTTAAAAGAATGTATGAATTGCTGAGTGGAGTGCAATTAAGTTGGAATCATTCCTACAACTTCAAAATGGAGTGAGTGTGTAGTGGACGTTTGAACTTGAGGTTTGATTACCATTTATTACATCCATGTGCTGCATTCCAAGCTGCCACCATTTTGGTTACTATGCGAGTAAAAGATGTACATTTTGTATTAGGCAATTAAAATTTTGATAACAGTCGCCAATTGGCGACCAAAAAAATAAAGAGGGAGACTTGAAAAAATCATTGATCCTTGTTTGAATTATCAATTGCTAATGTGCTAGTGTTTCTCTTTTTCTCTCCCGCTGTTTTGTGAGTTCCAGATACCCAGTAAGCTAAAAAAAGGGTGATAATGTCAAACTGATTTTGTTGAGATAATCCTCATTTAATATTACATAGAGTATTGAAGTCCAACAATCAACTATGCAGTACAAAGTATGGTGTCTAACTATAAATGATTCAGGATGTTATTTACAATATGGAAGGTTTTAATAGCAATAGTTTAGCTCACCCCAAATGAGAGAGGTTTCTCAGATGGCAATCAATCAAAATGGTATTAATCTGGTCTCAGCAAATTTATTCAAAATTGTTTCTACTACCAGACATTAGAGCTACTTCATCCTTTTTCTCTTGACCATTATTATAATATTTGAATTGGTAAGCAAGTGAACATATCAATTTAACAAATAGAAGGATTGCAAGCACATTGTTTGGCTCATTAGTTTTTTTGGTGTTTTTTTTAAGGGGGAGGGAGTGACCTAAAATTCTTAACAGCAATCATTGTACAATTGAAGGTAGTTAAAAGGCAACTTTTTAAAAAAATGAGTTTGGAGCCCTGATGCAGAAATGATACAATTGTATCACTCAAATACAACTTTCAGTCAGTAGCAAGATTTTGCTGTCCAGTAACTGTTTTCTTCGTTTCAAAGTGGAATCAGAAATGCCTTTTTGTGTCCAAAAAGAAAATTTTGAGACCTTATGTCAAAATTTATTGCTGTATTGATTCAAGACAGGTTTGGGACCATGGGTTACCAAATTTTCCATGAAAGTGGGTTTCTTTGTCTTTCACTTTCCTCTAATTTGACCTGTTACTTCAAGAGAGCTTTGAAACCCGATTGGTTGTTTTTCCCTTAGTGTTTCTCTCTCATTAAGTGTGAAAGATGTGATTAAGAGAAAAAGATAATACAATTAAAAAAAAAATTTTGTCATTTTGCACTAACATTAAATTTGTACTTGTTTTTGAATCCCAAAACCTCCATTATAAGCCGAACCCTGTTTTTTGTGAAAAAATCTCTCAAATTTTTATGTCAAATACTGAAAAAATCGCTTGGCTTATAGGTGAAGAAATACAGTAGGTATATAACTAAGAAGGCTTATACTGAGCAATCTTGTATTCTGTTTTAAGCTGTCCTTATATTAATTGAATCAACTTCTTCAATGTAATTAATTGGAATTTGTATTTAAGATGTACTTGGTGACTCACAAAGGTGTTGCTGTGCCCATGGGCAGAGATAGCAAAATTCGGACCATGCTAAGAACCACTGAGATTGCAAAATTCATTACCCTGCCCTCTGAGAAAAAAAGATTTATATTTTAAAAATTACTGATTTTTATTTTTACTAGTTTTGTTTCATAAATGACAGTAGGCCAATTAGATCACATGGATCACCAATAATTTTATTAATAGTTATCTTTTGGACAGGTAGGTTGAAAAGGGATACCAAGTAACTGATGTTTGCATTTTGGCAAAAGAAAAAGAACATTTCCTCTTAAAAGACTCCAATGAAAAGTATTGTTCAATGGAGGGCAAAAAAAAACAACTTCTGATTTATCTGAAATAAACTGGAAAATGACATTTCATCTAAGAAAGTCTAGTCCATAGTGACAAGTAAACACATAATTATATCAAGAAAATGAGGTTTGAACACAAGATGTAATTCATGGAGAGCTTTTAAAAGCAAAGAAACAGTCATTTCTCATCACAGTCAATGCAGAAAGTTAATATAACTTGCTAACCTTTTCAACCTTTGCCAGTAGAGCGATCACAATGTTAAATCAAGATTATCGATCAAATATATTTTATGCAAATGCTAAATGGAATTATTACCTTTATCAGGAAAACAAGCCCTTGCAAGACAAACACATTACCGATAATTTTGTGCTAGGCCTTTAGCTGATAGTGTGTGTGTTGTGAAGTAGTGATTTGCAAAACACTTTTAAACTTCTGTATGGTTGAAAAATTCCCTAGAGACCTTTCTAGCTCCAACAGATCATACCAATAAAGTCCTCACAAAGGACATGAACCATTACACTGGGTAGATGAGCTCACAATTCATTGTTAATGAAATCTTTGGTGTGTATCAATGTTGGGTTGATTCTATCACAACATATTGCAGTACCCTAATTTCATGGCACAATTGGCATGAGGAATGACACTCTACTGCTGTGATTAATGCAAGCATACCCCAATGCTATGATCTGATTGGTATGAGATACACACTCAAATGTAACAATCTGATTGGTGCGAGGAACATACCACTTGCTAACATAGTTATTTTTGATGATTTTAGATATATTAAATTCATATACTTGCACTGTGGTGAAGAGTATGGGCCTGAATTTTTTTCAGGTCCTATTTTCAACTTCTCGTTTCAGTAGTGTTCTCAGCTGCGAGGATCTCTTAATTTCATAGTTATTTTTCGTTGTAAAAAAAATCAATGTATGTGATAAATTAAAAAATAAACCCTAGCTGACACAGATTGGCATAATACTGAATTCATTGACTGAAAAAATGAATACCAGAATTTTACCTTGAAATTTGATTTTTGATTGGAATATACCGTGAGTTAACCGTCAATTTAGAGGTTGATCGAAGATGAAATATGCTTTCATATGAGGAGAAACATGTTTTGGCATATTTAACACTTTAGAAGCTAAGACATGGACCAACCCGAATTCAAAAAGGGGATAAACTTCTCAAATTCGGCAGAGCGAATCTGCAACGGGGAATTCTCACGGAAGCTCACGTTTAACTACACTTTTACCTCATCATCAAAGCCAATAACCTCGGGCATCTTCAAAACTTCCACGAAGTGTTGCACGAAGGATTGCACGAGGGACTCAAATCGCAGCCTGGCCTCGTCAAAGTTCCGAGTTAAATCTGGGACTGGCTTAAAGAGGGGCGAGCGTCCGGGTCATTTTGACATCTTGTTAGCTGAATAATCATACCGCTGACAAGGGGGCAAATTTACCCTGGGCTCGACATTGCGAGGCAAGGCTCATCCTCAAAATGGCTGACATAGTGAACCGCTATCTCACACATCTACATTCTTTGCCCTCATCGGATGTACCTCAGCGTGGTTTAGACGCAAGTAATACTGTAGTAGATCTCGGCAGTTTTTGCCTGGAGAACGTATCCGGCAAGGAAGAAGGTACATGTACAATAAGGGTGCACCAAAGCGTCAAAGAAAGTAAATTATCACCAAAATTATGATAAAAATAAGTAATGACTCTCTTTACAAATCACAACGGTAGATTTAAGTAATGAGGTCTTCAAGTTGAGGAGTATTTGATTGCTGCGATGAATTCCCTATTTGCGTTGCTAATTTCTGCCTCCAATGATATTTGATATTCTCGAACTGCATAGTACCGGAAGCTGGCCATGATATGCTGTGTGTTTGGTCACTGGGTTCATCCAGTTTGACTCTTACAGTTCGCTTCGTAGTTTGACATCATAGCTGTCGAACCCCACTGTATAAATTGGGGAGTGTTAGTCATGCTCCAGTTTGAATTCATTTAGCTAAAACTGTGGAAAACAAGGTAATTTAGTTTTATTAACTGAGTTGATAACGTAAATTTGCCACCTTAAAGAGTTTTAAAAGCTGATTGTGAATTGTCATACACACATCCCACTTTCCTCCGTTTGCTCTGTGGTTGTTCCTAAGCTCAAGTTCGAATTGGAAAGGAGCAAGGTAAACCAGGATTGACCAGAATTGAACAAAGAATATCACTCCATAGCTTTTTCTTTTTTTGTAAGGCTAAGCATGGTTAATTGTTATATTTTGCAAAATGAGCAATTTTCTTCCTCAGTACATGTAAGGGTCCAACTTGGGTTTGGTGGGACATGGGATGATGATTAAAATTGAGGAGGGTTGTGGGATATGGGAAATTTCAGAGGCGGGATGTGGGATAAAAAAATAGTAAGGTGGGACTGAGATACGCTCAGTTTCAAAGGTGGGATAGGGGATAGGACAAGTATAAGTGGGATCATAATTTAGCTTAAGTTACAAGTCAAACAACCTCAGAGACATTGAAAAATATTTATTTGCTGTATAAATGGGCTTAATTAATGCTCCTGTGTAAATTGGGGTTGACTTGCCTAATTGACTCAGTTTACTTTATATTTGTTAAAATTGTTAATAGTCCTACACAGCTCCATAGTATCTTATAATTTTGCTCTCACAGGTATTCCTTTGAATGAATGCCTCTTTCTGAATGATAGTATTGGTTCTTTGATGATTCCTCTTTGCAATGGTCATTGCTGTATTAAATGACACTTACTCATAAGGACTTTTTTAAGGTTTGAAACTGTTGGATAGTATTGTGTTACAAAGGGCAAGATTCGATTGCTTGTTTTTCCCTGTTAGAGGAGGGTCTGTTTACATCCTTCAAATTTCACCTCTGCCTCTCTCTGCCAGTTGTGTTTTGAGAAAATTTTTTTGAAGAGTTTTTCCTGAGGAGTGATAATGCTCTGCCTTTAGCAAAGCATTTTGCTCCCAGTGGGTAACATGTTGTGTAGAACGAGTACTGGAATATCTCTGTTGGTTTGAAGGGGGTTTTTATATCGAGAACTGACTCCCTGTTGAATCTTTCCTCCTTATATAAAGTCATGTCTTAGAAAGTAGCTTCGGAAACAGATATTTCAGCCATAAATTTGATTGTTGGGTGGTATTTATTTGCTTAAGTTTGTTCAATAAACTGGTTGACAGCATCTCTGTTGGTGTGCAGTAGAGAGATTGTATTGTCAATATTACAACAAATGAGCAGTTTCTTAGCACTTCTATCAAAGATTTGTGTTGCAATTTTTGCCATGAAGATGTTTGTGAAAGCTATTGCCTTTTCAGTCACCATGGTGGTTCCATGTGCTTGCAAGTAATTTTGTTCCTTGAATTGGAAGTTTTTTTGTCTCACCTATTAAGACTATAAACACACTGAGGAACAACTGTTTTCCTTTTGAAGCTGGCTAAATATACCTTTAAAAAGTCTTTGCCTTTCTCCATAATCATGATTTTCTCCAATTAACCCATCAGTTTTAATAAGGCAGTGAACTATTAAGCAACCTGGCTTTAACCCAGTAGGATCAGGATGGAATGAAAAATAGTAGCAGGCTGTGGGAATTGAAAAGTCCATTTTGGACCCTTCAAAATGGAGGTTACTAGAAGCAGTTATTGTCTTATGTAAACTAAAATTAAGGAAAATTAATCAATAAATGATAAATGAAGAAAGAGTGATTCCAGTTGTTATGATGGTAACAAATTGACACTCCGAGATTGGAATTGCCAATAAACAGAACCTTGAAAATGCAAATTGGAGGGAAAAAATTCGACTTCAGTAATATTGTTGAAAATATCATGTCTTGATTTGTCGAATACTTTAAAAGAGGTTGTTCTGAAGAATCAAACCATTGCATTATAGATAAAGGGGTAAGTTTCTAAAGAAACTGTGGTGTTGCATCGGTGGGAGAGTATAGCAGGATTACCTAATCGCTCTGACGAAGGGCTAACGCTCGAAACATCAGCTTTTTTAACCTTTATGGTGGCTAATTTACGTTTTCAACCCAGTTGTTAACACTAAATTACATTGCATTATAGGGTGCAGTTTTAGATTTTACTGTAAGAACTTGTTATAATTATTTGGATGCAATGTTCAAGGATGGCTAGAAACTAGTTGGAACTGAAATTGACTCATAGAGCAAACCTGTCAGAGATGGAATTGAAAATATATAATATACATTCATCATTAATAATTATTTATTCTGGTTTTTTTAATTGAATTTATTTGCAGCTTATTGTTCTTCACTTTTATTCAGTGGTGAGACAAGCATAGTTAACTTTTTGAGGAAAGCCATCACTTTGGATGAGGTATGTTCTATTTGTGGAGGTCTCAAAAATGAAGTGAATTTAATAGGTGAACATTATATTTCCTGCTAGGTACAACCTACTTGGGTAGGAAGTGAACTAAAAGCTCTAATGGTTATTCAGCTATGGAAATAATTTCTATACTTGATTTATTTCTTGGTTCAAATAAATCCAAACTTAGAGAAATGAGGTTTATCCAATCATTTAAAATTGAAAAATTACGTAAAATTAAACTTGTGATTAGCAGAACCAGACTTTGTTTGTACTACTGAATTTGAATTTTGGTTATTGAGAAACAATTCTTGTCTGAACAAGAGCAAGACTGAATTCAAACTATGGAAAGGTAGACAGACCTGGAGAAATAAATAAACTTGACTTGACCTTTGAATAGGCAACATCACAATAATTTAGCAGATTCAAAAATTTACTCTTTGGTTTTGGAATAAACAGACATGTGAGAGTGCACATGAGTAAGACTTGATTATCACATATACATAACCAACTTGGATTGCTGAGTATGGCCTGGAATTGGACAATTTGATAAACCAGTGAAACTGGAATCACACAAAGGCACAGACCTTTATCTTCTTCACTTCACTATCTTGCCATTTTTTTTAACAGCATTATCAATTTTAAGGACAGGGCTTGGTAATTATTAGGGATCTACTTTTGCATGGCCAATTATTATGCAAGCATAAGGCCATTAAATTAAAAAATAAATTTGGGGTTGTTGCATAATATTCTGAGATAGAGAGGTTTGAAATGTGAAAAAAGTGCTGACATTGCATTTTTAAAAAAGTAAAGGAAAATAAAATTTCCTGATAATGGGGCTGAAAAAATTCCCAAGTCAGCAAGTCTTAGAAGCAATGGAACAAGCTTTCGAGTCAACAACACTGCTATTTTCTGAAGGGATGTGAATTATGAGATGAAGTGAAAACCATACTCTCCAACTTCAATTGAGGCATAGCAACTACTTTCCTCTTGTTTTTTTATGGGGAAAATTGTCCACTAAATTTTCTTTTTCAGTTTTAACCAAAGGTGGCATAATTAAACTAACTGGAACTGTAAATTATAGGGGTGAAAATCCCTTTCACTGTAATTGTTTGTTCATATAATCATTTCCGGAGACCATGACCATGATTTGCAGCCAGTGTGTGCAATGGCAGTAGTGATCTTTTTGTATCATGTTTTACAGATATTTAACTCTCAAAATGTCTTTTTATACATGGTTAGGTGTAAAGTTACTTAGATAACCATGTTTAAAAGTGTGCTTGCACATGGTTGCCACAGGTCAAGGAAAAGTTAAGGAAATAAAATTTTATTTTTATTACAGATGTACTCCACTAGATCACAAATAGACATTAAATGAAATGAAATTTGTCACTACAATAAAGAAACGTTGTGGATAAGAAGACAACCAAAAGTGCTGAGGCACCATGCTAGGGATGTCTCACTAATTAAGGTGTAAGAGCATTAACAAATATAAAAAGAGAAGTTCTAATCAACTGTAATAAAATTTAAAGCATTCATTTTAAAAGCTGCAATACCATTTGATCTCTAATATGATTAGGTAAACTATTTCATTCATTAACTATTTGGTTAAAAAAGCTATATATGAAATAAAACCATTAGTTCTACTAAAATTTAGAGCAAGATCCTGTGTGTCATTTTTTCTCAAGTTATAATTTATAAATTTCTTATCCTTACAAAATAGGAGCTTATTTGAAATATCTATATCATACTGTCCATTAATTACATTGAACAAAAATGTATCATCTTTTATGAATCTCCTACTGGGTAATGACTGCAATTTTAACTGAGATAATCTAGTGCTATAATCATCATCAGGCTTGGTAATCCAACTGGTGGCTCTTTGCTGTTATGTTTTATGTGTGGGTTCCAAGTTTCACATGCATATTCTAGTAAAGGTCTCACAAGAGACTACCGTAAAGTGTTTTCATAGTTACTGTATCAATGTCATTTATGTCCCTACAAGTCCTTTTAACCAGCCCTAAAACCCAATTAGCCTTTAGTAGTTATTTTATCCACCTGTTGGTGGAAAAAAAATTTCTTCAAGGTCAAGGAAAAGTCAGGAAATTTAGCAGTGAGTTGGGGGAAATTTATATCTTTAAAGAAAGTCAGAGAAAGGAGGATCTCCTAGACACTTATCTTAGATGGATCTGAAGAGTCTCTTAGAGCATTACTGACTTTGATGGAAGTCTTTGGCAAAATATCTGGCCTTAGGCTTAGGGTATCACAGAAGGAAAGAAATCAGTGTTTTCTTAATTTTCTAAAATTTATGAAGAATAAGGATCTATCAACTTTGTAAATTTTTATATCTTTTTCACTTCAGGAGATGTAAGTAAAAAATGCTTTGAGAGTAGAATGGAGGGTGTGAGATTGATGACTGCATGTCAAATCCTTATTGTTGTTTGGGCAAAAGGAAAATTTATTTCTTGACAGTTTGCACTGGAGCAGAAATATTGTTCACTGATAGTGATAGGGGTTCCTACTAGATTTAAGAGATTCAGAGGCCACTGACCAGACCTAAAGATCTAAAAGACTTTTTTTTGCAGGATGAATTTATCACAATCTTTTTTACTATCAGTCATGAACATTAATTTTGGTACCAGTTACTTTTCAAGCTCAGTTTGTTTTAAATTTTAATTTATTTGCATTCTTTTCAGCTGAAGTGCTTGTGGAAGAAACCTCTGAATTTTGAATTGTCATTCTTTTTGTTGGTGACTGACCCAGTTGGGAATGTGTTTGTCAATATTTTGTGTGCATTACATCCATGGTTAACCAAATAGATTGAAAAGTTGGGCATGTGAACTGAACAGTTTCGATTTGTAGCAAAAGTTCTGCATTATAAAAGCTTCTCTGTTTAAGGGATGTTTGCTCAAAAAGCCTTCTGTGTTCAAATTTCTGCATGGAACTTACACTTTAACTTTTGAGGAAGGCTTGCGAAAACAAAATTTACACTTTTCATTAATTTTGTAACACACTTTTGCACAATAATGTAGAGGAAGTTAGATAGCTAATAGAATATAGATTACATTGGAAAATATATTGTAAATTCCAATTACAATAAATGTCCTCACTAACTAAAAATTAGATATGCTGGGTGTAAATGAATGTATACTGGAATGTGACTGCAACACAAACTGTCACATTTTTGTTGGAATTCTTTGCTTTCAGGGCACTGCTAATACTGTTAAAAATGGTCACAACTCAAATAACCCAACCAATTGAAATTCCCCCACTACTTCAAATGATTCTATATCTAGAAATTACCCAATTGACATCCCAGGTTGCTTGAGTAGCTCAAGTATAAAACCATGATTCAACTGATACATACACTATAACCCAACCCAATAATATGACCTAGCTACCCTGCATGCAAATTATCTTAGTGACACTAATGACCCAAATGACACAAAAAAACCTGACTGGCTCAAAGGGCCTAAATGATACAAATGATAATCCAACTTGTTACTACTATGTGTTAAAAGATCATGAATTAAACCAAAAAATTTTGGTGAGAATTGCTTTCAAATTACAATGTTCGTGACTCTACTTGTTTAAAAGAACGATACAGGTTGTGTACTGCTTTCTGTCCAATCTTTATAAATCAGTTTACCACTACACACTCAGGATGTGTAAGGCTTTATTACACTTCATTATTAAAAAACATATCACAGAGTAATAGAATTAAGAACGTTAATACTTTCTACATAGGTTATGTCTTGCACTTGATCTGAACACTCAACTTTCTTTTCACATTCTAGTTTCAAGATGCCAAGATAGAGCTTTTGAAGTTCCTTCAATCATATGTGATGAAGATGGGAAAGAAAATTAATCCCTATGTTGTGGAAATTAAGGTAATGTTAATCATTTGGAAGGGAACAGAGGCGTATAGACACTGCTGTAAAGTAGAGCCAAACATAGCAACCAACAGAAAGTAGTAATGAATTTTCACAAGTATTAATGTAAGTACTCAATCTTCAGCAGGAATGTTTTCATTTTAATGAGGCACAAGGACAATGGCTTAAATGAGAAGCTCTTTTTGGTCATCTGTGCTTTTGTGTATTCTTGGTTTTTGATTATGTGTCAACAAATGTGGGAATGGTTGCTATGCACCATCTTTGTCCCCCTCAAGTGTAAACAAATATGACATGAGTGTGTGTGTTTGAAATGGTTCTCTGTATTGTAATCAGTTTCTAGTGAAAAAGTAGTAAACACAAGGTACCTTTCAGCAAAATACCAGAGATAATTACAAACCAAGGCAATGAGTGGGATGAATTGATGAGGTAGAGAAGAGATCTGTGGATTTTGGCGATTAGTTGAGATGATACCAATGAGATGAACATTCTAGAAAGTGAGCATGTTAGTAGCCGTCATTTGGTTTCAGAGAAACACGCAGCTACATGGGACAGGCACTTGGTTCCAACGTTAAACCTGGGTAGAAAAGGAGATGTAGCAAAAGAACAGAAAGGACTAAAACAGGAAAGGAAGGGCTGAAAGATTAAAGCAATGCAGGAAATGCACCATAGAGCAACAAGAAGTCAAAGCTGCCAAGAGGCATAAGCATCTTAATCTAAGTGGAGATTGTGTCATTGATATTTACTTCACCAAGACCACCACAAATACCTTCATATGTGAGGTTGACAGGATGGAAATGGAGCCATCAGAGCGCTCTTGTAGCACCATTGGACCATTAGACCACACTATGTGTTCATGATTAATAATTGTTTACATGAGTTGAACAAAATCATTTGGCAACAAGGTGATCATGGTTATTGACTGCCTTCAGATTTTTAGTGAGATTCTGACAAACTTGCTTGCAAGAGCACAGACATTTAGTGCATAATAAACATCTTAACATCATAAAAATATTAATCAGCATCACTTCTCAAGGATCTGTTTCATTTGTGTCTGAAGCATGGGGATAGAACCTCTGAGAAGTTTCTGACAGGAAACTGTGGGTTTCTAAATAAACTTTCACCAGGAGACATGGTTATGGCAAACAGGGGCTTTACGATTAGTGAAATTGTGGGATTGGAACAGGCTTAACTTGCTACTCCAGCTTTCACTGAGGGAGGTTACAGCTGGACCCAGTGGATGACAGGAGGACCCAGGAAATTGCCAGTGAGCTCATTCAAGTAGAAAGAGTGATTAGACTGAGGTGACACAAATATTCAATTTTAGAGGGTACCCTACAAACAGACTTTCTCAAGTGTGACTCCAATAGACAACCAGAGTCTCAAGTTCCAATAATTGAACATGTTGCAAGGGTTTGCTATGCTCTTATGAATTTATGCCCTCCACTAGAACCCTGTAATAAGGTTTCTCTTCATTGGTCATCATTTAGAGAGGTACAGATGACATATGTTGTTTACTGTATGTACTATACAATTTAAATTTTCTAGTTTTCATAAGAAAAATTATCATTGTATAAGGTTTTATCCAATAACATTCTCTTTGTGAATAAATTGAATTATGTGATTTTTTTTTTGTGAAAAAAAACTTTGTTGTTATTATGGTTGTGGAGAGAAAAACTTGATATTACTCCTGGGAATCATGCATTGAATTCACAACCTTCAGATTATTCACTCACCTTAATGGTAAAGAGCTTATAGTTAATTCTGGAGATCAGTGTACCCTACAAATTTTTCATGAATGAAAAATCTGTAGGATGCTTTGACTTTAGACTCACAAACTGTACTGGTAACCAGTCAACTCGCCGACGGACCAACTCGCCGACGCTAACTCGCCGACGTATAAAATCGAGTAGAGACGTCGGCGAGTTGGTCGTCAATCCAATACAACTTATTAGAAGTTAAACATATAGAAAAGTAAACGATATTTAGTAAAAAACACTGGTGAACATTGGTGAACATCTAACAGAAGCTTAAACATTGGTGAACATTGGTAAACATCACCAATGACTGTAACAGCTTAAGACGCGAACGAGTTATTGTGCGACAACAACACCGTAAAGACTCATCATGTCAATCGCTCAAGCTGAACAAAATTGGCTGTAGACGCCAATGAGTTGTGTGAGTCATTGGTGATGTTTACTTCGCTTTATTCGCCTTGAGATCCTTATAAACTTTGTTGCAAATAAAAAGAAATGCTTTTTACTTAAGATCTCGTCTAGAAAGTCAAGTTTTCGTTAAAAAATCTGAGCGATTGACATGATGAGTCTTGACGGTGTTGTTGTCGCACAATAACTCGTTCGCGTCTTAGGCTGTTATAGTTATTGGTGATGTTCACCAATGTTTAAGCCTCTGTTACATGTTCACCAGTGTTTTTTTACGAAATATCGTTTACTTTTCTGTATGTTTAACTTCTAATAAGTTGTATTCGATTGACGACCAACTCGCCGACGTCTCTACTCGATTTTATACGTCGGCGAGTTGGCGTCGGCGAGTTGGTCCGTCGGCGAGTTGACCGTAATTCACTGTACTAGGCTCTTTACCATTGAGGACACAGACAGTGTGTATGCGCAGTTTCAAAATACAAAATATGTTTCAAAATTTAAAATATCAAATTTTTATATCCATACCTAACCTCATCTAAATTTGGATGAGGTTGGGGTTTTATTACCCATGAAACTTATCAGAGTTTGCCCAACTATCAGTTTTATAGGATAGTTAAAAAAAAATCAGAAACATGCTCATTTTTTTTGTCCTGGAGGCAGGGTGCTAACTTTCAGATGCATTTTAGGAGTGGCAAAAGTTACATGCATAGGATCTGTTCCAAAAACCTAGAGAGATGGCAAAGGCAATTGCAAATACACCACAGTCACTACTATTGGTCTGTTGCTGAACTGGAGGAAATTGAAGTTCTCCCAAACCTCCACCAAGCTAGTCATCTGTGTGGTCCTCAATATCTTTACTTATAACGTTGTGAAATAAACTGTCATAGAGGTGTACCTTCCCAGGAAAACATCCTGTAGAACAAATGCAGACCTAGTTTATTGCTAAGACTGCTTAGTCTGTTTTAGAATTTTTTTGGCATTCTTTTCAGCCCCAAACAACCAAAGTGGAAAGAGTGTCCATTTCTACAAGCAGTGGTATGACACTCTAGAAGTCTGTCATTTGGTGTTGGCTTAGTACAACAGATGCAAATGCTGCTGCACATCATGATGGCCTAGACTTCTGCAGATGGTAGCTTGCCTTTGGTTGACCTTCTGTTACATTTAAAATGTGGTAATTTACTGCAATGTGGGCAGTACCATGTTTTCATTGTTAGCACTTTACTGCAAAACAAACATGTGATATGAAGCTTTCTAGAAGTGCAGTCTGCATTACTACTGGACACCACATGTTCACTGTCCTGGCCTCTGCAAAAGCAAATACCACCATCACTGGGAGTACACGAGTGGTTTTCACACGTCCTAGTATAACATCTCCCCAGAATTTCCAGCAAAATACAAGTTTTCCAGAAAGCTTCAAGTCATGGTAAGACTGTGCTTGAGTGCTGCAGATCAGGATAAATTCTTCCACTCAAACTGTTTGGCAAATGGGTCAATTAAACTTAGCACCACAGCTTTTGTATCACAGTAATTGAGTGCTTCATAAAATATATTTATTTGTTCGGTGGAAGCCAGCTGCAATTTTCTGGTACTAAGTTGATTTTCATGATTAGTCACTGTGTTTTGAGAAAGGGAGTCAGTTTTTCTGTCACGTTTTTCTTTAAGATCCTTATCCAATGTAAAATCAATATCTTTAACCCCTTTATACAATATTTCATTAACATAAATTGGAAGGATCCGCAAGCTTTTAACTGGTGTGCATGCATGCCATCTTTCCATTGATATGAGCCCAGCATTCGATGTAAATTATGGCCCTGGTGACAGGTAAGCATGATTCTGTGAGCCCAGCTTTACAGGCTAACCGATGTACAGAGAGTATCATTTATTCAGTTAGTTAAAATCCACACATTTGTAAGTGGACCATTCATTTCCTGTGAATGTCACACTTTACCTAAAACAAAATACTTTCTGGAAATTTTCTTTCCTCTCACCAGAGTCACAAAACCTGATACAACTTGATTATATGCTGCTAAAGTCCTATAGTTCTTGAACTGTTCATGCATGTAGAAACTTGTCTGCAGTATGAGGTAGCTAAACAAATCAGACTGCAGGAATGGTGGCAAACATTTGGAATGGAACTACTTGCATGGGATATCAAGTGTGTCGCCACCAACTACAGAAATCTTCTGAAGGTCTTGCGGTTTTACGTGGTTGTTCAGAGTCACAAAACCTGATACAACTTGATTATATGCTGCTAAAGTCCTATAGTTCTTGAACTGTTCATGCATGTAGAAACTTGTCTGCAGTATGAGGTAGCTAAACAAATCAGACTGCAAGACTGGTGGCAAACATTTGGGATGGAACTACTTGTATGGGATATCAAGTGTGTCGCCACCAACTACAGAAATCTTCTGAAGGTCTTGCAGTTTTACGTGGTTGTCAAAGATGTTGGGTACTCAGAAAGTACAGAAATATTCCTGCTAAGTTTCCCAGTTTCATCTCTTTTATTTTCTTGTGATAAATCCATGTAGAATTCACAAAGCAGCTTTAAGAGTACAAAAACTGTACAGATACAGCTAAGCCTTACCATAAATTTTATACTTTGAGGAGTGTAAATATGGTGGACATCCATAGTTGGAAAGACCTCAGACATCATGTGAAAACCAAGACGACATGCATAAGAAGCAAACCAAGATGTTAATAGTTCAGTGTAGCTGTAATTTTCTACTCCTTAATTTTACATCCATGGAATATTTTATACAGCCAAACCTTGGTTATGTGGACTTTAATCTGGACTTGGTTTTCTAGTCCCATTTTTTATGAATATTAACAAGAATTATTTTCTTATTAATTATTGATCACATTTGCAATCTGTAACTCATGAAACTCATGTTGGAACTGAATTTGTTCTGCTTTCCAAACTGTTGAATGTTTTAGGAAGTGTTAAGTATAGATTGAAAGACAACAATTTTGACCCTTTTCCACTGATGTAGCATCAAAGAATGATAGAATTAGTGACATACACATGCTACAGCAGCTTGAAACAAACTAATTTTGACAATTGTTAATAGTGATGCACAATGATTTTACAATGTAGAACGGCCTAGATTTTAGAAGGAAATTTCAGTGCCTTGTGATACCATGATCAATTTTTATAATTTCATTTAATAACACAAAACTTAAAACTACATAATTTTAACATTTACAGTATTTACCATATCATTTACATCTTTTGCAGGATGTTTGTCTCAAAATTTTCTCTCTGGATCACAGTAATAAGGCTAAAGCAGAGACACTTCCTCTTATGGCTGAGGTATAACCCAGTAATAATAACTAAAATGAATTCATAATAATAACAATAAGAGATGGTTAAGAAAATTAAATGGATGTTAGTTAGTAAAAGAGAAGTATACTTTAGAAAGTGTTTAAATTGTATCACCAAAATTATAAAGAACCTTCAATACTTTACTGCTTGAGGATTGGGAGAGTAGCATAACGGCTAAAAATTCCCTTCAAATATGCTGGAAATTTGACCTTGAATGCTGCCATTTTTGAGTTACCTGTATTTTTTGAGGCAAAAAAATTAATCAAACTTAGTTATGGAGAATGTAGGACCTCTCACCACTCAGATTGGCAGGGTGTGTTACCCTCACCAATCAAATTTTTATGGTATTTTGGCAGCAACAATCAGTTTCATTGTGGCTACCGCTGCCTAGAAGGCAAAGGTACATATGTCATTGAAATGAGTGAGTGAGTGATGGTAATAACAGGTTTGTGATCTGACCCAGTTTCAACCAGATGTTTCCTGGTGCTAATTATTGTTTGTTTCTTAGTACCTTATAAGTTCGACAGTCTCTCTTGATACACATTTGAGCTCTTTCCTTTAGTGATTTCAGGCTTATTGCCACAACTGAATTATTTTTTCAGTTCTTGCCATGATGCTACAGAAGACAGTGGAAGATGTTAAACATCTCACAATCATTTCAGGATTGTAAGATGTTTAACATCTCAGTAGATTTGATCTGCATATCATGGAAGTTTTGAGGATTTTTTTTTGAAAAAAAGCATTTTATTGTGTGAATCGGAGATTTATGCCCAGAAGAGCCACTAAAGTTGTGAAGCGAGCAAGTTGTGACGTATGATACCTTGATAGGGTGATGGAATAGATATCAACAATACAGCGGAGAGCTGGAATATCTCAAAACACTGAATGACAGAATATCCTAAAACATGGAATGTTTTTTTGTATGAAACATAAGTATCACAAAATAGAATTGCAATAAAATGATAAAATTATTTATAAAATAATTAGAATAGTACGCACGCTCTGATTGGCCTTAAAACCATTTTACATGAGTGTATGTAAACATGGTTTTCGTTCCTCTTTCATTAGTTATTTTTTAAAAGAAATGTAAAATGGTTTCCTTGTTTACATAGCCTGATGTAAACACTTGGGAGGTTGGGAGAACACTTGATAAGCTGGAAACCACTCCACTTTGTGTTGTGGTTTCCTACGCTTATCGCGTCTTCTCCCAACCTCTCATGTGTTTACATCAGGCTATGTAAACACGAATACCATTTTACATTTCTTCATTATAACTAACAGACAAAATTAAAATAAGTGTAGGTAATCATTGTTGGAGACCAGAGGATTGGGGAACAATAAGGTTTTTTAGCTAGCCCCTTTGAATTATTATTATATTTCTATTGTTATAATTATTACTTTTAATATGATTACTAAATGTTACCACTTAATTATTGGTTTTTATGCAGGATTTCTTGAATTTTGCTTTTTTTGAAGTGGTGGGGTTTTAAAATTTTGGCAATTGTAAATATTTGAAAACTATGTAATTTTGTATTGATGAATGTGAATTTTATTCAACAGATATTAGATGTTAAACTAGAATTCTCTGTTGTGGAAAAGCTGGATGTTCCAAAGATTTTTGATAAGTATCCTTTGAGCAATTTTTAAATCAATTTTGATCCAACTCTCAACAGAAATTCTGAAGTTACAGTGATGGACCTGTTGGTTTTTGCAAGTCTCATCGTTTTTTAAAAATCATTTGTTGAAGATATGGCAATTCCAAATGGAGCTATAATCTACATGTAGGAGTGGTTAAAGATAGTCAATTGCATTTTAGTGTGGTAAATTTTAATGCCCACCTAACTGACCACCATTGTACAAAGTATGATTGCAAATATTGAATTTAAATTGCTGTATAGTTGTCCTAACATGTAAAATTAATCAAATCATAGTTAACCAAGGGGAAAAAGAGTATAGGACGGCCTTAACGTAGACAAGATATTTTGGAGCTTGTATTCAACCAACCAAACACTCATCTACTGGTAAACTACCCCAAGGACATTATTGCCACTAGCTTTCAAACTTAAGATCTTGTGCCAAAGTGATAAAAAGCAAACTTATTTACTAGCATTTCTGTTTTTAAATGTTTTTGTGAGGGGTAACCCATCCAGAAAAAGGTAGAAGAGATTTGATGAAGTGTCCTTGCTTTCTCTACTACTACAAGTGGGAGTAGAGAGGAAAAATATATTAGTTGTAATTGCAACAGAGGAGACAGTTACCCTACCCATCAATGGGATCTGCAACATCCTAAACATCTTGGTGAAACAACGAGACAACTAGATTCTGAGAACACCTTTGTGGTGTAGAAAGGAATGAAGGATGTATCTGAGCCAGTTGCTAGACAATTTAATCTCCCTAATCAATCTCAGCAGCATTTGGCAGTCTGCAGCCTTTCCTAATGTCTGGGCACTTTGGAAAGCTGCAAAACTGTAGAACAAAAATTTATCTTTCAGATTGGCACTCTTAATCCCCATGGTATCAATGAACACTTTCATTCAACTATTTTATTCTTGTTTTTTTTGTTACCATGTTCCCACCAATACTGTTACTCCATTTTCTACATGTAAACACAGTCATAGGAACCACAATTCCTCCATTCATTGTGATGAAGGGCTAATGCTCAAAACATCAGCTTTAAAACTCTTTACAGTAGCCAATTTCCATCATCAACTCAGGTGATAAAACCAAGTAATCTTCTTATACTCCCCCACATGGCACCAAAGTTTCTTTAGAAGCTAACCCCCTTTATTAATTTTGCATGTAGCTGTACATTTGACAACTGGTCATGTTGGTCATGATTGCTTCAGTCCAAGTTGTGAAGTTATCTTAGATACTTTTCTCAATTGTTTTTGCAGTAAAATACTGGCTGTTTTCCTTATTGGGGACCATTGCAAAAGTATTTCCTGAGTGCATGATCAGCCATTCAGATGATCTTGTTAAGCATTATGTCAGTGTCCTAAATTTAGAGGTACCTTCAAGGTTCCTTTATGTTATTTTATCTTTTTCTTTTTGATTTATGTTTGCTCAAAATTGTTATGCATTAAATATATTATATATGTGTGTATATATACATATATAACAATGCACATACATAATACACATACATATGTATATATGCATTGGAAACAAATTCTATATCTATTGAAAAAATGAGGATGACACATTTACCATAGAAGAGTTAGGAGTCCTTGTTTCACTCCAAGTCCTTAACAACAATATATAATTATTCTCTTTTTGGGTATAGAACAAATTTGTTTTTTTCAGTATCTTGTGTACATGGTACACTTTTTCAGAACTTTTACTTATCTTCTTGTGAGGAATTTTGGAGATAATACATTTTCTTGTTGGATTGAATGCGATAGTTTTGGGCCTTTCAAAGCCAACTGCTTCTTTTCCACTGAGGTTGCTATGTTGATTAGAGATATGCAGAGTACAAATCAAAATTGTACTTTACACTTTTTAGGCAAAGTAGACTAATGACTTGGTAGGCTGTTTTAAGGGTTTATCGCTTATAGCTAACTCTAATAGGCTCAGCTCACCTATGAAATGTTTTTCTATCAATTGAGAGTTGTTTCCAAATACAGCTGACTTTGACACATCAGCATGTATCTCATGCTTAGTTACTTGATGTTCTATTTCCTTCCTATTAAATAATCACTGAAAGTTAATTTTTTTCCTCTTTTAACTTTTCCCAAAATTTGACTGTGACTTTGTACAATAATGGGACACAAGGCATTTAAACCAAGCTGTTGGTGTAATTTAGCGCTGTTTTGAAAGAGATTAAAGGTGATGAAGAAAGGTAAAGAGGTATACAAGGGTATACAAGAAACTCAGTTTTTCTGTTTAATCAATTATGATTGCAGATGACAAGAAAAACCAAAAAGCCAGATATGCTCATCATTGCAGGATGCCTTAGGGGTTTGACATCCTATCTTACAAACTTCACACAATCTATTTCTGAAGGTAAATCCGGAAACACTTTGTTGTCTTGCATAACTCCTTCCTTGCTCTATTACCTGGAAGTAGTAGTGTGTTTATAACTTCAAGAGTTACAATGGGTGGAGCTGTATTTTTGGAAAGTTTGAGAAGACAGGAGCATCAAATGCTACTCAATAATGTTTATCCTTTTTTTCATTCAGTCGATAGAATTCTTGTGCATACAGCCAGGCATCTTTTCTACTATTACCCAAGGACTTTTCTCCTTTTTCTCTTTCTCCATTCGAAATATAATTTGGAATGCAGACAGATAGCAAAGGATCACCATGTGCAGCCAAAATCAGGCAATGTGTATGCAATTAAAATTCAAGGACCATGATGTTTTGCTGCAAAAAACACTCCAGGAGTCTTTTATGATGACATATTAAAATTAGCTATTCATGCTTTGGCAGGCTAAAGAATTCAGTTCAAAAATACATTTTTGTTAGTAACTCGTGCATTTTAATATTTTACAAAAATTTTTCTTGAAGCTGTAGTTGAAATGGTATTGACTAGTTTGACATGAAAAAGAAAAAAATCCAAAAAATTGGCCCCTGATAGTCAACTGTAACCTTAATCATCATTTTTTACTGGAAAATGAGTGCTCAAATGAACACATCTTATTTCCTTGAATAAGTGCTCACACCTTGGATGCATTCTCATGGAAATAGGTTAGGTCAAGCTAGGTCCCTCCAATCCACATAAGATAATCCCATCTTTCTCAGAAACAGTCCAATTTTTGCTATCTAAACTATTTCATTAACCACTCTATGGACCTCATATCAAAATGACATGATTTTAAGGATTGAATTTAATGATTAATTTCTGCTTTGTTCCAAGGTTCCAAGTATGCCAAAGATATTTACACCTATGCAAGAATGGCAATCAATCCACAAGTATGTCCTCTGAATCTTATATTTAAATAGTGGCTAACATTGTGGTTACTGTTTATTAGGGAACCTTGTTCAGTTAACAGTCCCATTTGTGAGGAAGTGGCAACAGTTAGGATTACAGTTGTAGTTGTTCGAGGCTTCAGAGACCAAGACTGAGTGAGAAAGTTGGCCAGAGTGCACACCTCACTTTCCTTAAGATTAATTTATGTGATATTGAGAATATTGTTTTTTAGGTTAGGGCTACCCTTTTAAAAGCGTGATCTAAGTCTTAGTGTATTAGGAAACTTTTGGTGTTTCATGGGGCCAACATCAGGGTATGAGTTTGAGATGGACCTTAAAAGATAAAGACAGGATGCTGACTCAAAAATTGTCCATATACCCTGAAACACTGAATCAAGACAACAGAACAGGACTGTTTTTTTATGTGTTTGTTGAATGCTTTCAAATGAGTTCTGTATCAGCATGTGAAATATTGACTAGAATTTAGTGTTCAGGTATGTCCTCAGAATTGTAGGCACTCCATGGACTTTGTTCCATTTATCTTAAATGCTTTTCTTTGCTTTGAGAATACATGTACCTTTTGAATGTTGGGTACAGCTATTTAATGGCAGTGCAGAAGTTATCAGGAGAGTTGGCACTGCCTCTAAGAATATCCTGATGAAATTTGCTCTTGCATTTGATAAGGTGTATCACTCTTTTAGGCTGCTTATAAGGAGACCAGGCAGGTTCACAGGTAGTCCTGCAAGATTTCCTAAGTAAACCATCAGGTTCATCTTCCATTTGACCTCTTAAGTCAATCACAGACACCCCTTACCTTCTGTTCAAAGAGCAGCAAATATTTATAGATACACTGCTATAAAATGTTCTTTAAAACACCCCAAGAAGAATTCACATCGGATGATGCAAAGACTTGCTCAAAGTTCATAGCATCAAGATTTTTTCAAAATATCTCTGAATTGTAGTTTTGATACTTAGTTAGCATATACAATGTGTACTTTTCTGGTTTTCTTCAGGGATTTTAGTTTCATGTCAGCATTATTGGTTAGATTTGATAGCCAGTAGAAGTAACTTATTTTATTTCATTTACTTGTGTTGTTTTCCTGAAATGTGATTTGTCCCATTGTTATCAACTTACCAGGAGTAATGCTTGCCTTCAGGGTCTTTACAAAGGGTATGACAAACTGTGAAATGTCCAATCCTATTTTATTATGTTGATGTTACTTCTAGTGCTAAGTGAGAAAATGCTTAAAATCTTTCTATGATTTTAGGTCAGTCTTAGTCGCTATGAAGTACCAAAAGGTAGGTTTAAGTGAACTTTTTAGTTTGTGTTCAAAAGATCTGACCATCAGTTTCTTGTGTTACCACCAGTTGAGTGACAGACAACCAAGCTCCATCTACACAAACCTTCAGAGAAAGCCAAAAAAAGTCTAGAGTTACTAGAGGATCAATTTTTTGGGAAACAGCATCAAGCCAACAATATTTCATAATTATTTACCTTGAATAAATGGAGGAAACCTTATCCTTATGTCATTGGCATCCACTTGCATAGGAAAAAAAATTAATCTTATGTGGCTGTTAATTGAAATAAGTTTGTAGCTATGCATCTTTTAATTCATAACAACATGAGTTATGATTTTAAACTGGTGCTATATGGGTGGGAGAGTACAACAAGGCAATTAATTATTATCAACTGAGTTCATAACATAAATTGGCCACAGTGAAGAGTTTCAAAGCTGGCATTTTGAGTGTTTGCCCCAGGACAGAGCAAATAAAAAAGCTCTGATGAAGGGCTAATGCTTGAAACATCAGCTTTGAAACTCATTACAATGGCTAATCTATGTTATCAACTCAGTTTATAATACTAATTAAAATTACCCTGTTTGACTTAAGTGACATATTTGTTGCCAATCAACTTTGACCTTTAGCAAAAAAATATATAGCAAATTAACTTTGACTTTTAGTGAAACAACTTATAGCAAAACAACTTTGTAATGAGACTCTAAAATCCGTGATTATTTAGAATGTTGTCTATAGACTAGTTTTCACTGTCAACTGGGCCTAACATGCTTGTCAAGCATCTACGTCAGCTCAGGTAATATATTGGTAGATGTACAACAAACTGCACCATTTCTGTTGTATTTGCAGCTGGGCTTCACCTGTTTGCTAAACATTCAGCTCAATTCAAGGAATATATTTCCAAAGACTATGAGGTTGGTTTTTTCCTTTAATTTTGCACTTATAATGACTTAAAAATGACCAAAAATTTGATGATACAATGTATGGGAAGAAGTCAGTTTTTCTTGGTTAGTTAAATAGAGAATAATACATGGGCACATGTGGATATGGAATTTCTCTTTGAATGTTTAACTTGATAGCTCACAAGTGAGCACAGTGAATGAGTAAGATGATGAGTTGAACACGAGAAGAGAAATTTCATATCCACAAGCAACCATGTATTATTTTGAATAGAGGGGTAAGTTTCTTAAGAAACTGTCAGTGGTGCTGCGTTGGTGGGAGAGTATAGCAGGTAATTTAGTGTTAACAACTGGGTTGAAAATGTAAATTAGCCACCGTAAAGGGTAAAAAAGCTGACGTTTCGAGCGTTAGCCCTTCGTCAGAGCGATCGGCGAAGGGCTAACGCTCAAAACGTCAGCTTTTTTATCCTTACAGTGGCTAATTTACGTTTTCAACCCAGTTGTTAGCACTAAATTACCATGTATTATTTTGTTTATCATATAAACACAATAGCCCTTTACTGACAAGAAAAGTCAACTTTATTAATGAATGAAAATAAAAGCATCGACAATCCCCGAATACAAAAAGTGTGTCAGCGCTAAAGCTCATGATGAATAAAATGCATTGACACACTACCAAGACAAACAATGGGTGTAATTTTCAATACACAAAATTCTCAGTTATTGACTTGGTCCTTACCAATAGAAGAAATCTTTCAGGTACAAGGCCAACATTGGCCTGAGGCAAATCTTCTGGTAGTTGATTTTCATTTTCAGCAACGAGAAATGCCATTGCCAAAGCTACTGAATATGTAACTTTTGGTTTTTCTTTCTGCATCTTGGTTTTATTCCCCCTCTAGGAAAGTTTAAACATTGCTGTCTGTAAGGGATATGAATTTTTCAGTGTTTTAGGAGCCAGAATCCAAAAATATTGTGACAAAGGCCTTGGATTGAGAATGGTGAAGGCTTTGCCATTCATTCATCAACCTGATTGAGTGGCGGGAAAGGCGAGTGACATGTCAGCAGCTGATTGGCAATATCAAACACACATGAAAAAGTACAATATTTTTTCATGTGTGTTGTTACAGCTTTTCTCAGGGCTGGAAATCCTTGTTTAGCACCATAGTTTTTATGATAAATCTCTTTCTTGAGCCAAATGAAATGAATGATGAACCAGAGTAGTTGTGGCCACAAATGTTTAAATTGTCACAAGATTTCCTGGTATAAATATTTGACCCATGAGAGTGAAATAGAGGGTGTATGTACGATGTATACTATGCATAACACTGTATGGATTTACTAATACATACCTAAGAGGATAACAAACTTAACTTTAATTTTTGTGTTGGCTGAAACCTCTACCTAGCCATTTGCTTTTGATACTCACCTGCTTTTTACCTACAGAAAATCAGCTCACTGCATGTAATTTTTACTGCTGATTATGCAAGATAGTCTGTAACAATATCGGCTAAAAAGGTGTCTACAGAGTAGTACCTTTCAACTAAAGATGCCACCTTTTGACACAAAGCTGCCAAGAAGTTATTCTCCAGTCCCTAAGCCCTATCTATTTGCTAGCCTAAACATCAATCCACCCCTGAATTTATCATGGCCCCTCTTTTTTTGAAGGCAGTGATTCTGCCCTCAAGCAAACCTAACAGGCTTCTTTCTGTAACTCCAGATTACTGGGTAAGAAAGCCATCTAGGAAAATGAATTGTGCTAGTGGCTTACACTCCACTTTTGTATCTGTGATACAAAATCTTGGATTACTGTTTGACACTCATCACATCCATTTGGATCACTTGTGATCTTTGCAATCTGTTTGACTCTCACCAGTGTAATTTATATACAAATCACACCAATTTATGCTCTAAATTGCATCTTTTTCCAGCCAATGAGGCAGCTTTACCAAAACATGACAACTAAAAATACTTGTTATGAGCAACTGAATTTGTGATTTCAAAATCGATGTCATAAAGTAATAATTGAAATGACTGAGTGCAATTTTGGTTTGAAATCGCACACATAAGAGTTTGGACCTAACAGCATTCCAATCAGTTCAATTACCATTATAAATTCATTTGCTCTATGGATATAACCTGTGAACCATGCAGTACCATCTAATGTTCACAATAAATGTATTTGACAATGAAGCCTCAACTTGCAATGAGAAACTTTGTGTTCCAGTCACCAATTATGTTACAGATCAGTTATTGTAAAAACCTTTCAAGAGGTGTCTCACTTGCTCTTATTTCTAAGAGTGCTCCCCATCAGCCGGAAGTGATTGGCTGTATTGCCAAACCCAAAGTGAAGGTTTTTTGTAAAGTTCACTTGTGCAGAAAGTGGTAATTATTTTAAAAGTTAATGCTTGCCTTGTTTGTAATATAGTGGGATGCTAGTTTCCGTTCAAATTAAGATGGTCAAAAGAGATATCTTGTATCTTTCGGTAAATACACCTTAAATAAAGGTGACATACAATTGAAATGTATTTTGCTAAGATGCTGATCTACTCTAATTAGGTGATTTATGAAGAATTTTACCGTTGGTGCAAGCATCACAACAAGGAAATAAGTTATGCTGCATATGCTGCAATGGAAGCATTTTTCCAACAGGTGTGATATTAGGTCACTGAGTATTCCAAAAAAAAATGGTTTGAAGCTGAGAGATGATTACATCCCTAGTGGATATCATTATCAGGACTACCCTCACTTAGACCGTCAGACTACACAATCAATTAAGTAGTGGTAGCTACAGTTGTACCATTTTACCCACTATTATGTAGAGTTGACATTTTGTTATTGTTGTGAGGAGTGGGCCCATATGCAACCAGTATCCTCCTTTCACCACCTTAGTCATGTTTAAAATTCTTGCCCAGATGTACTTTATTTCTATGTATACTAAATGCTTCCATAAGAGGACATATGCATACCTACATGCATCACTTCTGTTTGACTATTATTGCTGGTAAATCCTATTTGTAGTTGAAGTAATTTTGATTACTGTTTGATCTCCTCATTAGATTTCCCTCTACTTTGTTGAAAGGCATGGAGACAAATCTGACCTAGCCATGTTCATGGTGAGAGTTTTTCATGTTCATTGCACATTGTTTTTCACACATCAAGTTCCAGTTTTGCCTCCTGAGAACTTGGCGATAAATGAAAATTACTGGTATTGTAAATTTTTTTTTTGGTCAAAAGGGATGTAAAATAATTATTGGTGTCTTTTCGATATGGATGATGGGCCAATTAATTTTTTGTTAGGCAAAATTCTTTTTGTCACCAAACAGCATAAATCCTTCATTAAAAAAAAAATCTTCACACCAGTAAAAGTTTGGTTATGCTTTTCTTTTATGAATGTACTCAGTCATTTTCTCCTAGTACCCTTTGTGACCTGTGGGTTTGATTGGCCTATGTCATATTTTCTAAGCAGTGGAAAACTGTGATTACATACCCTTCAATCCAAAGGGAATTAGTCAATACAGGGCAGGAAACTTAGGCGGGTGTCTACAAAACGAAAACCGAAGACCGAAGACCGAAGACCGAAGACCGAAGACCGAAGACCGAAGACCCTAATTTTTTGCCCGAATAAGGCACGGACAGTTAAAAAACCAAGCCAAAGCGTTCCTCAGTGCAAACAGATGTGAAAATAATGGGAATCTTCGTTTTGTAGAAAAGACCCCCTGAATCTACAAAACGAAGACCCTTACTAAAACGCTTTGTTAGACGCCAATTGACGCGAAATCAAGGGGGTCTTTGTTTTGTAGAAAAAAAAAAAAACCCGTGAATCTATAAATCGAAGACCCTCGCTAAAAACGCTTTGTGTGATGCCCATTGACGCGAAATAATTGAGGTCTTTTTTTGTATAAGGGACCGCCGTGTGAATCTAAAAAAAAAATAAAGACCCCTGTTAAAGTGGGTTGCGAGTGAGCAAAAAATTAAAAGAGCTTAGAAAATTAAAAGAGCGGGCGCGTTATTTGGTCTTATTTGGAAATGAATGTACAATTTTTTTTTCGCTTTTAATATAGAAACGATTTTCTTCATTTGCAAACCTTTTTTAAGTTGGAACTCTTGTAAATTTCTCACGTTCAGTCCGGAACCCGAAGAAGTAACTTTGACAGCAACTGACATAAGCCAAACACTCTCTGGAGAAAAAATATAAAACACAAATGAAACAATTTTTAATATTTCTAAACAGGCAAATACCTTTTCTGTACACTGTACACTGTCCGATTTTCTTATAAAAATCGACAAGTATGACAGTGTTGGATTTCAAGAATTGGTTTCTCATGCAGCCACAGAGATAATAAGTGGCCTAGTGTATCTGCACCAAACAGGGATCGCCCACAGAGATCTTAAAACGGCGAACATTTCAGTTAGCAACCAACACTACAGCTTTATGTCAGTAGAGTCGCAAGATTTACATGAAATTTATCATGAAAGGCCGATTGCCTGTAAGCTGACTGATTTTGGTGAAAGTCGGTCACTATTTATTTAGACGCAGTTACTCATTAGCTCCAAGACCACCACTGTTGATCGAGGGACAGTGGTCTACACGTCACCAGAGCTTCTGGTTGAAGAAAAGCGCTTAACGAAGGCTTCTATCGCAGATCTAATAATTGCAGACGTTTGGGCGCTGGGGATGGTCATCTTTACGCTGCTTAACCCAAGCCTTAAAAGTCCTTACATCTTAGAAATGCGGGCAGAAGGAGTAAGGACTCAGGAGCAGCTGAAGAAGTTCATAACCGAACTTTTACGGAAAGAGAAACTACCACAACACGTCAAAAAGTACCACATCGATCGTGCTACTGTTTGGTTTGCATTAGAGGAAGTTTTCCGAGGTTGCCTTAATTTTAACAGAGAGAAACGCTCGTCCCTACAAGAGGCAGCCCAAATTTTAGCCAGGCATCACGACAGATTTTCAATGGAATTTCATGTCATTAACCTTAGGGTTAGCCAAGTAACTGCTCTTGAGCATTTTGATCAAAAGGTTGCTGTAGATTTCCAAGAGCAGGCGAAGTCCTTACAACCGAACATTATGCCAATAAACGATGGAACCAACGCCTGCATATTCCTGTCGATTGGCATTGTTGAAAGCATTATCCAGGAACTGGAAAGTGAGGTCTTCGAAAAATTACCAACAGCCGTGGAATCCATCTTTATTTATCTTTAGTTCTTTATCTTCTCAATCACCCCACTGCCATCCAGAGAAAAGCAAGTCTGTAAACCGAGGTAGTAGTTCAATTTGAAGTTGCAAGTACAGGGGCCAAGAATGGAACAGTGCAGGTCTCTGTTTATAGGGATCGTGCAACTTGTGTTTGTGGACGGTATAAGTATGATAAAGTCTGTAAGCACTCCCTAGCAGTAGCCGCTTTCAAAGCAATTATGACAGACCATCTTAATTTCATCAGAAAGAAATCAAGTAAAGTTAGTAAAAGAACAGCTCTTGCTGAGCACGATGTGCAGAAAGCAACGACAGGAAAGAAGGGAGGAAAGAACAAATATGGCTATCGACCTGCAAGGGGCAAGGCACAGCCAAGCTCGAGCGGATCTACGGAAACAGCTACCACTTCGGGGCTGTTATACTCAGAGATACACCATAATGAAAACGAATTTGAGTTGATGTTTCTCGTAGAAGGTGCGAAGAGGTGCAAATCGTGCCATCTGGACTTTTGTCATAGGAAGAAGGTCATTCCGTTCGATGTTATTTTTTCCTCAGAGCGATGGATGTATCCCATCAATGGAGATTGGTCTAATTGCAAGCCATCCCAACGGGAGACAGTCAGATACTATCATGCCTCAATGAAGTGCCTGATAAGCAGATTCCCATACTTTACTGCAGATTTCATTCGCATACCCAGTGACGTTGAGGAGAGTCTTTGCGATTCCCATAAAAACTATCTTGCAAATGAATTTGGGATAACCATTGATTAAATTTTCCTTCATCCAGAGCATGTCACACTGTGTATGCAACAGGGTTGAGCACATCCGAGTGAACAAAGATAGATGGATAGTTTGCATGTGCATGTTCACTATGCTCAATAATGCTAAAAGCTAACTGCCAAACACATTCGCTTGTGGATTACTATTTGTAGCAAACATTTCATGGGTAATCTATTACTTTTTATGTGCAAGAAATGTAGTAATTGTGCTGCCAGCTGTTGCGGTGTCACCAGTCTTGTGAAATTACATTGAACAAGGAAAACTGTAAATTTTGATTTTGATTGGTTTGATTTGAGTATGTGTATGCAAGTTGTCAAGGACTCTGAGCTCACCCCCTGCATAATGCTGTGATTTGCTCAGTTCGTGGGTGTGAGTTTCCGATCCTGTCACCCACTGACATAAACCATATGCAAAACCTGTCACTGAGTCAGCTACCCTGGTGAAAATCTTTCAAGGATCTTTAAGGATCTTACAAGATCTTCATGAGGACCTTTGAGGATCCTCAAAATTCTTGTTAAGATCTTCAAGGATCCTTCATTTTCTTGCCAAGATCCTCAAGGATCTTTGATTTTCTTGTCAAGATCTTCAAGGATCTTTGATTTTCTTGCCAAGATCTTCAAGGATCTTTGATTTTCTTGCCAAGATCTTCAAGGATCTTTGATTTTCTTGCCAAGATCTTCAAGGATCTTTGATTTTCTTGCCAAGATCTTTGAGGATCTTTGACTTTCTTGCCAAGATCTTTAAGGATCTTTCATTTTCCTGTCAAGATCCTTGAAGATCTTGTCTGGATCTTCAAAGATCTTTACATGAACTTTGAAGATCCTTTAAAGATCTTTGAAAATTCTTTGAGGATCTTCCAAATTCTTGTTAAGATCTTTGAGGATCTCTCATTTTCTTGCCAAGATCTTCAAGGATCTTTTTGAAAATTTTGAAGATCCTTAAAGATTTTGGAAAGAAAATAAAAGACCCTTAAAGATCTTGGCAATAAATTGAAAGATCTTTGAAGATCTTGGAAAAAAAAAGAAAGATCCTTGAAGATTTTGACAGCCAAATTAAAGATCTTTGCAAGAGATTTGAAGATCCTTAAAGATCTTGACAAGAATGTCAGTGATCCTTGAAGATCCTGGCAAGGAAATGGAAGATCGTTGAAGATCTTTGCAAGAATGTTATAGAACCTTCGAAATTTTGACAAGAAAATAAGCATACTTAAATCCTCATACTAAGTTAACAAGAAAAATTGAACCAAACATAAAAAAATGAAGATAAAACTTTTTTTTATTGCTAAACGAGAATTACCCATCCTCTTCTAGTAGGACTACTTCTACACTATTTCTGTTCAGACTTTAGGTTAGTTCTAAGATTTTCATTTTCCAAAAAATCTGGCAACAGTCCAGCTCAAAGATAAGAAGACCAAAATATATGTGTTCAACTTGTCTAGGACTAGACTATGACCAGACTCAGACTACTCTTACAGAGGGGGTAAACATAGCTTAGGAATCACACATACTGAATATAACTAATATGTTGCCCTAAATTTGTTATTTGACATCAGATCAATTTGTCCACCACATGGTGTGAAAAACCTAGGTATACTTGAGAAAAGATAACTGCACAAAGATTGCATGAAATCAAGTGTTTTTAGTGTCAAAACAAAGTACTAGGGTCGTTCTTTTGGATGAGCTGAGGAACTTTTGGAGTCGTTTATATTATGGGCACAGTGCCCGTTCAAAGTTCACCGAGATTATTAGGTGAGTTATTCCACAATATCTTACTTAAAATTCAGCTTATAGAGAAACTGTCAGCTTATCCAACTCAACTCAGTAAGAGGATACGGCCCTGAAAACTTCAGATTAATTGAACTAATACATCCTGAGGTACAAAATAAGTGTTTTCGGGAATTCATATGACAACCTCTAAAAGAGCTTTTTAAGTTGGTTACACAGAACCAAGTAAATTCACACCTTCTTCAGAAACATGTCCTTCAGTGAGCGTCGAGGAGAATCTCTCTAGATCGATAAGCCTGTATCCTTGTCACTGTAACACATCATTTGCATCCCTACTCTCCAAGAGCTCAGAGCAAGAATCATTAGGCGAGGATGGCATCTTCATTTTCTTTCCAGAAGTACCAATGAATTCTTTTCATTCTTGACGATTTCGGTTGTTTCTGTCTCTCTTTTCGCTTGTTTCTGAACTCCAGAAAACGCCTTTCCTTTACTTTTATTTCTGTGTACATTTTCCCTTTAGTTCCGACCATTGTCGATGATATTTGCCGTAACAACGAGCTTCTTATGTTTTTATGCGACCGTTAAAAATCTCGGCGCGTATAAATTCCTATCCCATAATGCAAAACCCTATTTGTTGTCATGTAAGTAGTCACAAAGTTTCCCGAAAGCCTCGAGCATGGCGTTGCTAATTGCGGTAACCTTCATTACACTTATTGCACAATAATTTTCTGCGAAAATTCCTTGTTGTGTTTAAATTATAAAACAGTGAGCCCTCAATTTACAATTTTGTTATGTTTGAAATTACTTGAGGATTTCAAAGGAACCTAATTCATAATGCAGAGATGTGGTAGAGATCTTGACAAAGTTGCCTTTGAGATCCACATCAAATTCAAAATGGATCCTTACAAAGAGCTGTACAAAATCATGAAATGAATCTTTTAAAGATATTTGGAAGATCCTTTTCAATTCCTTGAGGATCTTGAAGGATTGTAGAACAGATCATGCAAAGATCTTGACTAGGATCCTTGTAACTCCTCATCAAATTCTTAAGGATCTTAGCAAAGATCTTAGCAGGATCCCTAAAAGGTTCTTTTGAAGGTTTTTAAAAGATCCTCATTAAATCCTTGAGGATCCTGAAGGATCCTTGAAAAGATCCTGCAAAGATCTTGACTTAAGGATCCTTGTAAGATCCTGATCAAATTCCTAAGGATTCTGGCAAAGATCTTTACAGGATCCTTGAAAGGATCTTTTGTAGGTCTTTAAAAGATCCTCATTAAATCCTTGAGGATCTTGAAGGATCCTTGTGAAGATCTTGCAAAGATCTTGAGTAGGATCCTTGTAAGATCCTGATCAAATCCTTAAGGATCCTTGCAAAGATCTTAATAGGATCCTTGAAAGGATCTTTGGAAGGTCTTTAAAAGATCCTCATTAAATCCTTGAGGATCTTGAAAGATCCTCAAAAGATCCTGTTTACTTCCTTGCAAGATCCTGATTAAAACATCTTGAAAGGATCCTTTTACCTTCATTCTTGAAGGATCCTTGAAAAGAACTAAACTTTGTAATATCCTTTGAGGATCTTTATCAAATCCTTGAGGATCTTAACAAACGTTTTTGCTTACAAAGATCTTTGAGGATCTTTTACAGATCCTTTAAAGATCTTTTAAAGATCCTTGTCCTTAAGGATCTTTGGCAGGTTTTAGGTTTTTCACCAGGGTATGGTGCTAGCTTTTATTTCCGAATTCCTTGAAAATGAAGCTATTGGCGATGTAAAACGGTTTTCCTTGATTTATTTGAGATCATGGCTTGAGAAAGCTGATATGTAAACAATATTAATTAAATTTTAGAGTTCATTACATTGATATGCTTTTGATACAATTGTTGGTCCGAAAAGACATATAATACAGTAATTTATGCTTCCTTGAGATACGATCTTCCGCATGGAATGATCTCTGCAAAAAGCTTTATGTTAGAAGTATAGTATTATGATCAATTTCTTTAGGCACCTTTTGTTAAATCAAGGTAGATATAAGAGTTTAGAAACTGTGTTTATCTTGCCTAGAATCTCTTAACTAGAAGCAGTGATGCTGAGGTTTCTGCATGCTGTGCCTCAATTTTTAATGCTTTCAAACAAGGATTCTTAAAACTGACAGGTTATAACTGAATATAAAAAGACTATAAAAATTGCACATATTTTGTAAAGGAAGTTTTGTTCTGTGCATTCTTGCATGACTTAATACTGATCCTAATATAATTGGCTGAATAGGCCTTCTACATCAGGTTATGTGCTCATATTTCGCAAAGCTTTGTTTTGGTGCATCACTCTCAACCTGCTGGCAAAATGTGTACTTTGAAAGCGAGCTACTAAGACGAGATATTTCGAAGGAAACATGAGTACCATCTTTTCCCTGTAATTGCTGTTAGAATAATAACCCAGTAAATGAGGATTGCAGCCATTTTTTCTAGTATGAATTAGTTCCTCGTATATTCTAGCTTATGTCAATAGTAGGGGGAGAACACGCATGCCTGTATACATACTGTATACATACTTATACATCACTGCAAATGTGATACAGGGGATTTCAATTTCACTGTAGTTTGATAATTAGCACATCGTTGTTTACTTTAGTTTCTGTCAATGTTTTTAAATAGGAATAAGTATTTTAAATTTTGTTAATTTTATCAGGAATTGAAGACATTTTCCCTGTGTATAGTTTCTATAATTCCAGAATTGCATAACCACAAATAAAACAATATTTTATTCTTTTTGTGTCTAACTTTCATTGCCAAAGGGAACTTTCCAATTGAAGGTATTCATTTTGTATATTCACATGGTCATTTTGAATTCTACAAAACAAAGACCCTAATGATTTTGTGTCATTTGGAGTCTGACAAGGTGTTTCAGCAAGGGTCTTCATTGTAAAGATTCAGGGGGTTTTTTGTACAAAACGAAGACCCCCTTGATTTTGTGTCAGTTGGCGTCTGACAAAGCGTTTTAGCTCTGAAATCATGACCCTGTTGGGCAGCACATACCCCTATAGGCAATGTATAGGAGTCCCCCCCCCCCAAAGCGTTTTAGCAAGGATCTTCGTTTTGTAGATTCAGGGGGCTTTTTCTACAAAACGAAGACCCCCTTGATTTCGCGTCAATTGGGGTCTAACAAAGTGTTTTAGTAAGGGTCTTTGTTTTGTTTTGTAGATTCAGGGGGTCTTTTCTACAAAATGAAGATCCCTGTTATTTTCACATCTGTTTGCGCTGAGGAATGCTTTGGCTTGGTTTTTTAACTGTTCGTGCCTTATTGGGGCAAAAAAATTAGGGTTTTCGTTTTTCGGTCTTCGGTCTTTGGTCTTTGGTCTTTGGTCTTCGGTCTTCGTTTTGTAGACACCCAACTTAGGCTGCCCCAAATGTTTGGAATGTGTAACTTACCCTTTTGAACAAGGAAAATGATGAGCTCACTTGTTCAAACCTATTACCAAAAGTGAGTAATACCAGTAAACCTTTAATCTTACCTGACTTTGGACATAATTATACAATGTTATTAGTAATTGTCAATATATTTTCTATCTGTACTACCATGAAAATAAGTACTGCTTCCAAATAGTAAGATACATGTAAATTTCATTTTTTGTTATTTACATGAGTCTAATTTTGTTTTTAGGGCTGGCCATATTTTTTTTTGTCATGTGAATCCCACTTCTTACCAGTAGTTGTTGTTATCAGGCTTTTCAGACAAGTAAGGTTGTGATACAGACCAATGAAATGAACACTGCACTTTTCCAAATGGCGATAAAGTGCATTTATAGTGTTAGTATAGAAGAGATGCCTTTCTTTTCTTGTAGTATTTCATCAAGACTTTCCGTGGAATACTTGATTCTTTGTCAAGTGATACAAAGCAGATGGCAATTGCTGTGAGAGGTTATGGTTACTTCTCTAAGGTATTTTAAATATTGATTCAGGAGTTATTTTATATTTATATAGATTTTTATGTGGGTTTCCTTAGGAGGGTGAATTTAATATTTGGGTTTAGTTCTGTGACAATTTGCCATGCACGGCTTATAATGAAATTTGTTAGACTGAGTGCATGCTAAGAACAAGCTAAATCAGGACATGGTTGTAAAAGGTTGTGAGAGCTTATTCAGGGAAGGTCTTTTAGTGGTAAGTGAACATGTGCACTGTGTTGTTAAACATGCTCAAGCCAAATAAAAATTTGGGCTCTGTTTTTAGTGAGCTCATGGTGAAATATGCTAAGGGTGTTTGAAACAGTTTGGTCTGCATACTGTACAAAATGAATTTACATTTGCATTTCTTTGGCTCAATACTGTGTGAGTGAAGTACATGAGTTAATTTGTGAAGAATCATGCCATATGAAATGAGCTACTTAATACAAGACTGTCACCACTGGATACTGTGAAGATGCGAGGGACTTAAATACTAAAGTTTTACTCAGTATTTCTGATTGAAAGGAGTAAGAGAAGATAAGAAAGAAACCATGTCTACAACTACATAACATGATATTGAAGATGAAACAAAGTACAGAATGTATTCGTTAGTGATGTGATGTTTAAGGTCAATATGGTTCCTTTTATATTTGTTGCATTTGTATTATAAATTAAAGTAACAATTTTGTCTTGAAATGGTTTCATTTTGATGAATCATAGAGGTCCATTAATGGCATTTGCATTCAAGAGTCACTTGATATACATACATTAGATATCTGTGTACTGGTTGTTGTAATTTTTAAAGTTTAATGATTATGATCTATTGGAGATAGCTGTAGTTAAACTTGCTGACTATTTAGAAGAATGGAACACTAATAGCTCTGCTGGTTAAGAAATTTGTAATAACATTATAACATCTGCTAAACAAAACACACCCAATGTGTTTAATGACTGATAATTAAGCTCAGTGCAGAGCCAGTGTTAGGGCAGATTTGGTCATGTTGCCACAGAAAAAATTGATTTTCACCTTTTTAAGATGTTAATGCCAGACTTAAATAATACAGTAAATGATTAACAACAAACCCAGACTATCTCTTCTTTGCACAATTTATTGCTGACTTTGGCCTGTTAAAGTATCTTTTAGGATGAAAGGACTAGGACTAGTGTCTTGATGGAGTGAATGTTGTATGCTTATCTCCTACATTTGTGTGCTTGTTGAACTGCTAATTAAATTCTCATAGGACAAGGACCTGTTCAAACTATAAAGTCCCTGCTTCAACGGGGTATGGTTTTAAACAAATTATGATGGATGGATTCTTATGATGAGGCTAGGTGGTAAATTCAAACCTTGTGATCAATGGCTTCCTCAAATCATACCTTGTGACTTCTAAGAAAACTAAACATAGACCTGATATACAGCTATAAATCACTCCATAGTCCAGGCCATGATACTAGGTTTTTTTTTCTGATGTCTCAAGGACCTCTGAACCTGGATTTAATACAATGAAAGAAGGAAATTGTAGTTCAAGAACTCAGATCAATTTGCATACATGCTCTTTGACTGTAGTTATGTATTTGAGCAAGCAATTGTGGTATTTCTCAATGTGTTGATTTGGTTTATAGCATTTTAGAGGGAGCTGGATGCCAGAATTAAATATGGTAAATCAATATGATTACATCTAATTGTGCTGTGGTTAACAAGGGATTAGGTATTCCATGTTAGTAGGCACAAATAAAATGTCACAAAGACCCTTCTGGTTAATGGCTGCATCATTGAACTTGAAGTCTGTTTCATGGCTGCTGTTGAAACTAGGCAATACCTGAGGATGGGGATCCTAGCATTTACTTGTTGCTGGTGTCTTTAAATTTCCATGTGGATGAGCATGATGATTGTGATGCTTGTTGTTTCCAGCAACTACTTGAACTGTTTTATCTGAATTAGTTTATAATGTGAATAACTTGATCAAATCTATGGAAGTGGTGCATTGTTAATCTGTAATTCAGAATGATGATGAAAGCCATTATCAAATTTGTGTGAGGAGTTTTCTTTCATTTAGTGTTCTAAGTTTGTGCACATTGATTTATACCTCTGCCATGATGTTACAGTCTGTTATTGCCTATTTCATTTATCTGGTATTAGCTTACTTCTGTCTAATCTGGTGGTGGTGCAATGTCCAAAGTTAGCAGCAATGCACTGGTAGTGGCCCATTAGACACTGTCACACCATTAAAAGTGTTAAGGCACCTCTCATAACAAACTTTGCCAAAACTTTGGTTGCTGAACATCTGTTCACCATTTTAGAAGAAATAGAGGCACACCTGAATAGTTTTTCTTTTTACCTACATTGGTGCTGACCCTACTGCCTACATTGTTTATATTATAATGAACTGTTCATTCTAGTGATTCCAACCTTCTAGTTATCCCTAAGACTACTACAGTTACTTTCAGAGATAGATCTTTTGTGGCAATTGCTTTGAAGTTATGGAATCAGCTACCACTTTCCATTAGGCAAAGTAACTCTGTTGATAGTTTTAAAAAGGCATTGAAAATTCACTTGTTTCATGAAAGCTGTTTCTTTTAGTCATAAAAAGCACCAAGACATTTATATGTAGAGTGCATTTTTAAGAGCACACATTATTATTATTATTGTTATTTTCTTGGCTACATTTTTTTGAGGCCTGTAACTCAAATGTAGCTGGTGAATGTGACCAAATGTGGTAAAGACATTGTTACATGTGACTATTAGAAGCCGATCAAACTTACTTAAGCTTCAAAGTGTTTCACAAACTGATAAACAAAGATCTCCATTGTAATTGAATGTTCTGAACTGAAAGTAAAAGAGGAGCTTGCAGCATGAGAATTTTGCACAGAGTGACCCCATAATTGGAAGGAGGAGGGAGAAGGTGATGGGCAAGTGGAAATCAAGTGTAACTTGGAATTCCCATTTCTGTGCATTGGGAAACACTGGCAGAACATGATGAGTGCCAAGCTTCAGTGCGGCATACTGCATGCACACAGTTAGGCATTACATGAGGGCTTTCTGTGGGCTAGAAGATGTGAAGCCGTGCAAGGAAAGAACTTGCAACCTGTGTTTTGAAATCATGTTGGTGTGGATGTAGTTTAACAGTAATGCAGAGTATTTTACAATTTCTAGTCAAATTGCGAAGCAACAAAACTCAGAGCTAAAGCTTTGTCAACCAGAGGAAATTATTTTAATTCAAGTTTGTAGCTTGAAAGATTTGTGAAAAATCTGAAGGTCTGATGTTCGATTCCTCATGGGGACTCAGAATTTTTCTTTGTCCCACGCTCGTGACAAGGCGAAAAACGCCTTTCTTAATTCTTCACCGAGCTCAAAACTTACCATCTCTACTTTTCTGTCAAATTTATAATTTAGTCGTAAAAATGTCTTGATTGTCTTGTTCCAAGAAAATTTGATTCAATATTATCTGAATAACCTAAATTGAATGAATAGAAAATTTATCTGTTCTCTTTTGAAGTGCACATCAAAGTTTTGAAGTCACAGCAGGCCTAAAGTACAGGTTTCAGTTATCAACAGGTCTTTTAAACCTTATTTTTAATCACATGAAATCTTGCAGATGGATGACAGTAATTTTTCCTGTGACCCTATTAACATTTTATTATGTGTCATAGTGGGTGTTGGCTATAAAAGTACAGTCAAATTCAAGTCTTGTGCACAGTCCAATCATCACATTTATGTAATAAAATAGTGCATCTTTCCTAAAACTAGTTTGTCAGAATAAGAACGAGTTACCCTGCACAAGTATGGCTTTTCACAATGATACATGAACATTAAGTCCCTTGCCCTGACAGCCCAACATTATCAAAAAAGTCAGTAACTGGAGCAAAAGCATTGAATGAAACAAACAACCAAGCCTATTCCCTAGGTAACCAGTCAACTCGCCGACGGACCAACTCGCCGACGCCAACTCGCCGACGTATAAAATCGAGTAGAGACGTCGGCGAGTTGGTCGTCAATCCAATACAACTTATTAGAAGTTAAACATACAGAAAAGTAAACGATATTTAGTAAAAAAACACTGGTGAACATCAAACAGAAGCTTAAACATTGGTGAACATCACCAATGACTATAACAACTTAAGACGCGAACGAGATATTATTGTGCGACAACAACACCGTAAAGACTCATCATGTCAATCGCTCAGATTTTTTAACGAAAACTTGGCTTTCTAGACGAAATCTTTAGTAAAAAGCATTTCTCTTTATTTGCAACAAAGTTTATAAGGATCTCAAGGCGAATAAAGGGAAGTAAACATCACCAATGACTCAAACAGCTTCAAACGCGAACGAGTTATCGTGTGACAACAACACTATAAAGACTCATCATGACAATCGGTCAGATTTTTTAAGAAAACTTGGCTTTCTAGATAAGATCCTTAGTAAAAAGTAATTCTTTTTATTTGCAACAAAGTTTATAAGGATCTCAAGGCGAATAAAGTAAAGTAAACATCGCCAATGACTACATCTGCTTCAGACGCGAACGAGATAATTATTGTGTGACAACAACACCGTTAAGACTCATCATGTTAATCGCTCAGATTTTTTAACGAAAACTTGGCCTTCTAGACAAGATCTTTAGTAAAAAGCAATTCTTTTCATTTGTAACAGAGTTTATAAGGATCTCAAGGCGAATAAAGTAAAGTTAACATCGCCAATGACTACATCCGCTTCAGACGCGAACGAGTTATTGTGTGACAACAACACCGTAAATACTCATCATGTTAATCGCTCAGATTTTTTTAACGAAAACTTGGCTTTCTAGACGAGATCTTAAGTAAAAAGCAATTCTTTTTATTTGCAACAAAGTTTATAAGGATCTCAAGGCGAATAAAGCGACGTTAACATAGCCAATGAACAAAATTGGCTGTAGACGCCAATGAGTTGAGTGAGTCATTGGTGATGTTTACTTCGCTTTATTCGCCTTGAGATCCTTATAAACTTTGTTGCAAATAAAAAGAAATGCTTTTTACTAAAGATCTCGTCTAGAAAGCCAAGTTTTCGTTAAAAAATCTGAGCGATTGACATAATGAGTCTTTACGGTGTTGTTGTCGCACAATAACTCGTTCGCGTCTTAAGCTGTTATAGTCATTGGTGATGTTCACCAATGTTTAAGCTTCTGTTTGATGTTCACCAGTGTTTTTTTACTAAATATCGTTTACTTTTCTGTATGTTTAACTTCTAATAAGTTGTATTGGATTGACGACCAACTCGCCGACGTCTCTACTCGATTTTATACGTCGGCGAGTTGGCGTCGGCGAGTTGGTCCGTCGGCGAGTTGACCGTAATTCATTCCCTACACCCTCCTTAATCCTGTTAGCTTATTTGGAACATGAATATTTCAGACATGGCATATATGCCACAAATATTTCATTCCCCACCACAATTATTTCATAATTGTTTAAAAGTTGTGCAAAATGGTTGGGTTGAGATATGTAACAAAGATTTGCCAGCTTGCTACAGCACTAGTGGAAAAATGGAAGAGAAACCTTTCATTCAATGTATAACCTGAGTTGCTTCATGAGTTGGCAAATTTTAACAAATACTTAAGCCTTCTCAGAAACTTTGATGTTTAAATTTTTTCAAAGTGAACTGATGAAAGTCTTAGTGAATGGTCAAATGAATACTTTTCCCAGATCAATAAAATTAGGTGTAGTGTTTTATGTTGACGTTGGCACAACTTCACCCTCTAGGAAAGATTTATTTACCTGGAGGTATTTATTTACCATGCTGGTATTTATTTACCAACATGAAAGAATACCATCCAAAACTTTACAATCTCTTTAATTTGGCCTATAACAACATCAATTCAACTTTAACACTAAAGAGAAAACTTGCTTGATGTTTGGAATTAACTTCTGTGGTGTACAAATGAGGGATTATTTCTCGGTTCGTACAAAAAAGGCTTCATGATCAAATCTTAAGTCTCTCTTCATCAATAAGTTTTGTCATTCTAGGTCTAGCTTGTTACAAGAAACAGACGCTGGACAAACTTTGAATTTCATTAGCTAGACTTTCCAAGATCATGGATGGTTGGTTTAAAGACAGTGAAATTATGTGCAGGTAGAGCAGAGGTTACTGAATTAAATGACAGAAAAATCCAAAATCCAGCCAGAGGACAATTATGGAATGCAAATTTTAGAGAGAGAAGAAGTTTAAAGTTAACAGGTTTACACACAACTTGAAAGTGACTTTTATTTTTAATTTTCTTCACTTATCAGTGGAGGGTGACATGTTTGGGAAAAATTAGTGGAGTAAGCAGTCATACCTGGTGACATCAAGAGAAGATCTGAAAGAGGGCCATACAATTCTGGCATATTGTTTCATTGACTCAGTGTCCTCATGTGTATACCCTTTCAACTGCCCAGTGATACCCCATCTGGAAGTTGTTTACCATCGTTTCTTTCAATTTTGGCTCATTTTCCCAAGTGGAGGTTGTCATTCACGTGCCATAGAATAGCATTTCAAATGATACTGACATCATACACTACATTTGAAGAACAAAACATTCCTTATCCTCAAAAGTCCCGTCAAAACAATGAGAACATTAACAAAGGTCTTCAGCTGCTTAAGAATTCCTTCGACTAGCATGTGTGTCTGTTGCCTTGCAAGTTGCGAGAACACATTCCCTTGCTTATGGACCCCATCAATTCCCCCGTCCCCTACCTGGATTGGTCCCTAAATCCCCTTGAATATACTCTTCAACAGCTAGCGCTAAGGAGTTTTAATAATGTTAAGGGGTGGAAAATAAACTAACTGGAGCTCTGCTGCTAGGCTTGGCTAAATCTAGAAATTATTTTTTGTTAGTTTTGATGGAAAGGGGGGGGGGGTTTGGACCTACCTGAAAACCAAGTATATTTTCCACTTGCTTATTATTGTTTAGAAGACAGGAAATTGCAAAGAGCAAATGTAGTTTTTGCTTAGTAATTGCTTCACTAATAAAATAATTATCATATAAGTCCTTTAAGTACAGTGTTATTACACAAATCTAATGGTTCCTACTAACATTTTTAATTTATAATGATGTAATGGAAATGTCCACATTCTGTTGGTGCAGGGAGTTTAATAGAACGTATTTTAAAATTTAAATTCAGTCTAGTGACTATTAAGTCTACAAGTAATAGCTCTGAGCAGTGAATTAATGGAGGAGAATATGATCAAATGTCTTTCCCTTGGCAGCCGTGCAAGTTGTTCATGCAAGCTGATGATGTGAGGTTTATGCTTGGTGAGATTATGCAGAGAAGTGAGCAGTTGTATTCAGGGTGAGAAGCAAATGTACAGATGTTCATCAACAATTGTTTTCTAGTCTTTGCTTGCTGGTTGAGCTCATGCATGTGGACTGTACAAATGTACATACAACTCCAACTCTAGTGCAACTAGGCTTACACTAGATAATGATGCATTTTCAAGGCTTTTGATACTATTCTGTAGTAAGTTTTCATGACTCTGGGGTCCTGAAGGTTAAATATTATCTTCTGAACAATGAAAGTAATTGCAGGAAAGGGGACATTCGAGAGATCTTTACAGTTGTAAGGAAGGTGATGGAGGGTGACCATGTGCATTTGAATCATGCTGCTGAATATAGTTAAACCTCTTGGAGTTGTTTTATTTACTTTTAAAGCCATGGTAGGATCCAGGTTGAAGGGTTTCAAAATGTTTTGAAGTAGGCGTCAGACTCTGCAAAAGTAGCTGACTGTGAAAAGTTCAATAAGGCCAAAAGGTAATTATTTTGACCACAGTAACCTGCGACCTAACCCTTAGCTGGTGGGACTCTGGTGGTTGCTGGCTTGTTTTTAAACCCCTGCAGGTCTGAAAGGCACAGTTCTAGATAAAGGTCCTGTTGACTGCCAAATGAAATGTGGTGCAGTCATGATGGGTTGTGCTAAGATTGTTAGTGTTTCAAATTGCAAACTAACAAGTTCAGACTTTTTTTCACTGACTTGCACACTCTGATGCCTATTTCCAATGTAGTCAAGTGTAGGAAGTGCTTTGGGAGTCACATTTTGTGCATTTGGCAATTATCCTGGTAGCCTTTGATAGTAGAGATTGAAGACAGAAGTCACTAATTTGCAGCATTACTAGGTGCAATGTTTTGTGCACAGGTGTGATCATGGTCAATGCACAGTGAAAAAATATTATCTTGACTTCACTTTGAAAAAGAAAGTTTGATAAATACACAGTGTAGGCAGGCTCACCCTTGGGGCTTACCCAAGGTAAAAAATCTTGAGTTCTTGACAGTTCACATGTAGATCTTTTCACAATCTACACTGAAATGCTTATGATTGTTTTGGATGGGCTACCTACATTGGTGACATGTGTTCTCAAATTGCTTCTCATATTCCTGACACCTTATACATCCTCTTTCTATGCAGTATATCAATTCTTATAGTGCTGGTAGCTTTACTTCTTGGAGCTTTTTGGGGCTGAATAAGTTTTTCCATTTTCTAAAGAACCCAAACCTATGTGGGTGGTGCAATGCTTGACAATAGCTCTGAATTAGGCATGTCCAGGAAATCAAGGAACAGGTCCTCTGGGAAAATAGAAAGACAGTATGCTCCACTTACATAGGATGAAACTCTTGGACCAGCCAGCAGAAGATGTGATTTTCTAGCTTCAATAGTCTCATATGGGCAGGAATTGTGCATCAAATAGTCCACTCATAAACAGTCAACCTCACAAGTAATTAAAGGCAGCAGAGAATTCAGTGTTACCAACTTGGTTGAAAATGTAAATTGGTCACCATAAAGAATAAAAAGCTGACGTTTCGAGCATTAGCCCTTCATCAGAGCAATTGGACGAAGGGCCAATGCTCAAAACATCAGCTTTTTGACTCTTTACAGTGGCCAATTTACGTTTTCAACCTAGTTGTTATCACTAGATTACCTGTTACACTCTCCCACCAATGCAGCACCACAGTTTCTTTAGAAACTTACCCCTTTATTCCAATAGCAGCAGAGATTACATAGGCTCCAGGTTTCATTTGATAAGATATTATGAGACTTTATAGGACATGATGTGACCTGTGTTAATGAATAATTGTTTTCCTAACTCCTTAGCCAAGGTGGTCTGTTTGAAGACAGAGTTCAGCACCTTCCCACCTTTTTAGAAGCTTTGTCATCCATCATTGAAGAGCTGGATGAGGTTTGTAAACTTACCCATGGAATTTCTTCTTTAGTATGAGACTGTATGTGTAGATAAATTTCTATAAATTTCTCACAACAACATTGTTCAAATTTTGAAGGGTGGAGCACAGCTTTAAATCTTGGATTACACAACAAGATCACTTATTGGTCATTCTGTACCCATGTTCGTTTCGTACTCACTTGTTTGGTATCCAAATGCAGTTCATTCAAACCAAATTTAAAGCCCATTCATACCCAAATGCTGGTCCATTTGTACCCAAACCACTGATTGATTCTTACCCTCCCAACATACATATATTTAAGGGTGCTTTCTTCAATGTTCTGGACATTGGACCACAGCCACTGAAACTTTATGGTCTGCTGAAACTACACAAACCTGGTTTCCTGATGCGACCTACATTGTATTGTTTCTTTCTGTGGTTCTCCCACATACCAACCGTCCAAGTACCTGACAACAATACTACAAATACTCACTAACAAATCCAGACATAAACTGAAATCCACCAAGGACTTAATGCCACCAAGACTATACAGATACCTGATGACTACAAACTAGTGTCATTTGATGTGAAATCACTTTTTACAAGTATTCCACTTCAACTGGCACCACAATGTACTGAGACTGCAATTTGACAATCTACCGACCCTCTACTGCCGCCAACAGAGGACATTATGGACTTACTAAACCTTTGCCTTATGTCAACTTACCTCAGTACAATGGTAAACACTACAAATGGTTACATGGCACAGCTATGGCACCTTGGGGTCTCCAGTTTCTGTTGTTGTAGCAGAAATTGTGATGCAGAACATTGAAGAGAGTGCCCTTTCGGCTTGCTGGCAAATGATACCGCTTTGGTTACACTACATTGATGAAAAATTCACCACTGTACAACATGAAGAAATCGAGGCATTCCACCACCACCTAAACAGACAAAACATTGACATACAGTTTACCAGAGAGGTCGAAGAAAGTGCTAAACTAGCTTTCTAGACTTCCTGGTAAGCCATGACGACAACTCACTGTGGACAACAGTTTACAGGAGACCGACACATACCAACAGATTACTAGACAAGTCATCCTACAACCTGACCTCACATAAAGCCACAACTATCAGGACTCTCACATGATGAGTGCAACTATTATGCAACACAACAGACAGCTAATCCAGTGAGAACAAGTACCTTGACTATAACAGACTTCATCTGATGAAACACTCACTGACTCACTACTGCTACTGAAGCTAGTGACAACGCAACTTCTACGACTACAGCAACTATACCTCACATAAAGGGCATATCTGAGAACATCTCACTCTTCCTACAACCATTCAATATCCATGTCGTTCACAAACCCATTACCACACTGCGTCAGTTACTAACTAACATTAAAGACCAAGACAAACTGAGGAACAGACAGGAAGCAGTTTATAACATCAACTGCTCTGACCGCTACACCTCCTACATCAGTGAGACTGGCAGAAACCAGAATGCTATTACCACTTGTGATTGAGTATAGTATATCTGCAGGTTTACATTTTGATAGAAAACAAAAGATTGGTACTCAATTTAGTTCTATGATTTCTTAATATTTGACACATGAGCAATATAAACATTACATGTAGGTTGCAAAGTAGGTTAATTTAGGATGGATTAAAAGTATACATGGTTATGAAATGACTGGTAATCCATGATTATAACAGTTACATGTCCTACATTTGTGTTGGGAATTCACTTTTTGCGATTAAGTTATCACAAACCATGCATAAAATGACTTGCTCAATTGGGTAGTTTTCCTGTGGTTGTAAAATGTATCAACCAAGCTTCAATCTCTGAAGAACAAATGGATCAATTGTTCCCCAAATAGAAGGCACTTTTCTGCTACATGAACAAGCAGTCTAAAATCTCCCTTTGTAATCACAGGGTCTGAAATAGAGAAACTTTCAAAGTACTGTTTTATGAACTTTGCATTGCCTTGGTTTTTGTTTACTTTGCTCTGTAATTGGTCAAGAAACCTTTGCCAGTTTCTCAGCCAACAAGAAACTGTAACTTATAACCAACTACTTTTACCCCTACTTCTGACAATTTTCTTGTTTTTGTTTTTTGTTTTAGTTCCCATTGCATTGCTCCATATGATATTTTCCTGTTTTGATTGACTGTTGTGTTTACTTTGGCTTTAGTTTTATGACACTCAATAAAAAAGGGTGCTAATTGCCAATCAACATACATATGTCTTGAAACAATTTGTTAGAATTGGTTCTCAAACTCATTAATAATTCATGCTGAGAAAACAAAGGAAATTACAACCTTGAAGGAGGTTTGGATACGTGATCTTAATTATCATAAAATTTGATGAACTTTTGCTTTGATTTTCTCCAAGAATTATCATTGGTTTGAGAAGCTATAACAAACATTTGAAAGGGTGCTTCATCTGATATCCAAACACCCTGAAGTTGGTTAAAAAAAACTCAGCTGTGTCATTTTTTCAACCACTTCTTGGTGTTTAGATATCAGATGAAACACTCTTCCTCGTGTTTGATATATTACATCAAACCACCTAACTACTAGAGATGTGGCTTGGTCATTTACACTTATGAATAATAAAAAAGGGAGGTCTGTATTTGAACCTATTGGGTCAATTGCAAGGTTACACCTAAAAGATTCTTCAGTTTCCTACATGCTGTACATGGATATTTATGGTACTCTTACTTGGTACTTTTCACATTCTATGATCAGATCTCTGACTCCATCCTTGCATCCATGGAAAGACTAGTTGGAGTTTTGTTCGACAAGTTTGCAATATTGAATACAAGAGGAAAATTTCTTTGCTGTAAGGCCTTTGTAAGGGTACTTTTCCACCTCTCATCCAAAGGTGCAGTTCTCAGGAGTTTTCTTTCAGAAATAGGTATGTGTATGAGAATATGCACAGAAGTGATTAAATGTACTGTGTTTAGGTTGTTTCACTTATCCTTAAGTGCTCTATGCTCAGATGGAGGATGGTACCTCGAATTTCACACATTAAGTGATCATCAGCAAAATAATCTTTCACTCATCTGGGATTCAAATGTACACTGTATTGATCACCTCTCATTCAAAGATGACTCTTTACTTTTCACTTTCTACAGTTTACCAAGGTCTCATCAGAACTTGTTCACATCCAGTTATTCTGGACGAGGTTTGTCAGAAGTGTAAATGATAAGTTATTTTATTCTGGATGATAAAACATATAGCCAGTGGTGGTATAGCAAGTTGTTATATCACTTTGCATACAAGTAAAAATGGTTCAATTTCTTCAATTGATCATCTGCTAGCCAGCTTTAGTCTGGTACTGATTGTTTGGAAAAAATGTTTGCAAAATGAGAACTTTTAAGCTACCTAGAAGGTTAATGGATGTTATGCAATCTTTTCCATCATTTGTCTGAGAACCATGGTAGTTTCTCACAAAGAGTGCATGTAAAAGAACTTTGAAAGCACACAGAGAAATAGATAACTAGAGTAGAAAAGGAACTTAATGTATGCCCCGCTATGTGCTGATGTAGGGCTAGTGGATTATATCCCTACTTTTTGAGGACAAGAGTTTGAAGGGAGGGTCCTTTTGGATAGAAAGGCATTTCAATTCAAATTGATTGGATAGTAACTGAAGTCGATTTGATTCATCAATAGAGTTTGACTTGATACACATCGAAAGTTGTTTCAACACAGTCTCAATCATTTTGATTCAAACTGTTGAGGGATAAATTTGAAGGGTTTCAACTGTTCACCAGTCTAATAAAAGGAGTTTACGATATTGCATCTCTGAAGTGGAGAACACATTAGCATGCATGAATCAAGAGAGGGATAAGAAAGGTGTACATGTAAGTGCAATGTCAGACTTGCTAGATTATTCCTATTGAATGTTCATTTAAAATCACCAGAGCAAGTCTCAACAATATGTGAGGTGGCTCGGCGGCCTCTTGGGTCTCCTCGCCTTCTAGCCATAACTGTTGTAAATAAATTCTTTGTATTGTGTAAATAAGGCAAATGAAAGATGATGATGATGAATATAATTTGACCAAGTTCAATCTAAAGCGTGGACTATGTGACTACTCTCATGCAATTATTGCATGCACTTTTTCGTGCTTCCTGAGTTCAGTTTTTATTTATCATCCAGATATCCAAACATCCATTTCTTGTTCACTAGTTTATTGAAATGCATGAAGTTGTATGGACTGAAATGACTTTCTGTATCAAATTGAATTCAGTTGGTATCAAATTTACTTGATTCCAAACCACTTTGTATCTTAATGCTTGGAAACTGGGAAACTTCCTGAGGAGTGGGTTGCCTTATTCTTATTTTGGTAGTGTTTTTGAGAGGGAACCTAGAAGAGGGAAGGAAAAGTACCAATTTTGACACTGCTCTCACCTGACTGAGGCAAGTGTCTGGGTTGACACTGTACATATTGTATCTAACATAGGTGAATACACCCTTGATTTATTTAAAGGTGAATGAAGAAAATGCAATAACAGAAGAAAGAGAGGCATATGAAGGGTCAACTCCTAAGACATCTCTCAAAGATTACCTAGAGTTGTGGGAATATCTCCTTGACAAGGATAAGTTAAAGGTATGTTATGTTTTTTGTCACTGTTTTAAAACAATTGCCAGTTAGCAAACACTGAATCAATCCAGTACAGTCATATGGTGATTCTATAAAATTTTTTGGTTTTGCTTGTATTTCCAAAGTCCCTGTGGACTGTCTGTACAAACATGACTTTTTTGTTGATATACTGAAATTAAGATGCTGTTGACTTGTTTAGGACAAAAGCCTGATTGTGAAGCAAGTTGAGGAATATGAAGTCATTCATGGACTAGTGTATGATGAAATGATTAAGGGGATCCTTCGTATTATTCATAAACTGGATTTGTCTTCTAGCAAGGTATCTTCAGCACAAGAGGTGAAACTTTTTTAACAGGGAAATACACCACACAAGCTTGCAGTAGTGTTAATGAACTGTCAAAAATTACTCATAACTATCTGATTCACTCCGAAAAAGTGCACTTGTTAAATGGAGAAATTCCAAATGCAAATCTTCTTTTTTAAAAGTTACTCCAAATCTTTGTGGTGCCATTGGGGAAATAATCTGTACACTCACTGTGTCTAAGCTAGGAAACCACCACAGTTTATATATTGGTGGAAAAGTCATTAAATACAGAATTCAATAAAATTATGATTTTTTTCCTGTTCTAACGTTGTTTGTTAGATCTGGAAAAAAGGCAACAAAGTTTTCCTTTTCATGCATCGTTCAGTTAATTTTTTCTGCATGTTTTCATGAAGTTTAGTCAAATCTGGCTCACTCTGTGAGCCTCTAGCCAATAATTTTGCAAAACCCCTGAATTTCACAATGTGCAGGAAGGCACTTTTCAGGAAAGTGACAGTTCTCCATTATGTTTTCTGCAGTTACCCTCTTGTTTTGTCCAGCTTGTTTTAAGTAGTTATGTTTCATCATTAGAAAGTTACTTCTTTGTTGTTGGCCAAAAAAAGTGCCCTTTGGACGATTATGACACATGAAAAGTCTATTAACTTTTCTGCAGTGGTAAATATGTTTTTCTCAATAACCAGTGCATAACTTATAATTTTGGAAAATGAGAGTTAAGGTAATTATCTTTATTTTGATTGAAAAGAAATAGCTCTACGAAGGTTTGGAGCAACCCCTTTAAGGGATCAAATAAAAACCAAAATCACAAATATTCAATATGTGAATTTGTAACTTGCATTGTGGTAAAACCTGAAGCTTATAATGATATAGTTCATCAGTAGATGTCTTACTAATGTTTTTTTTCTTTTAAAGCAAATCAGTGCTCATTCTTAAGAAAATGATCTGACTTCAATCTCAAATGTGTTAAAGTAGTTTATGGTATAGTAATGGTGCAGTAGAGGAAGCAAGGAAGGAAGTCAATAAAAAATCTAAGGGACAGAACAAGAAAAACAATTCAAATGGCAGTTTAAATTTTGATCATTTGACCTTGGACCTTGTAATGCATTGTAAATTAAAAATAGAATATCTTAATTATGTTACCTTATTTTCTTTTAACACTTGTTCTTTGTTCGTTTCATAAGGGAGATGTTCTTGATAGGAGTTCTGCCAGTGATGCTCCTGCACCTGCTACAGAGGACAAAGAAGTGTCTCTGTCTGACCCAGTGGCAGGACTCCAACCTAAAGTGGCCAAGGACTTCATGATATTCATTAGTCTGATAGAGTTCTGCAGGTGAAGGGTCCAGGGCAAACTTCAGAATAAGTAGATTTTTAATGAATTATGTTGCTAGCTCTTTTGCTGAACTGCCATGGAGGAGGTCAAGGGTTGGAGCCCCAGACTGGACCAACACATAGGGTTGTAAATAGCTGAAGACAAAGTGCTGCTTTTGTTATTACATCTGCCAATGGTGAGACATTCTAGTCCTTTTGGATGAGGACTAAAAACCCTAGACCCTGTCTCCTGCATCTTCTCTGTACCAGTGGCAGGGGAAATTAAAGAACATGGGGAACATAGCTCCTAGTTATGGGATCTGGCCTTGTTTCCAAAAAGTCCCAAATCCAGGGCACCTGCAAAAATTCCCTTAAAAAATTCTGAAACTGTGCATCTATGCAGACTGGCCAAAGACCCCCACAAATTGTTGTAAAGCACATTAGAGCATATTTGTATGGAGCATGGGCTATATAAATGGATCAGTACAACTATCATTGAAATAATGCTTTAATTTGACATTTCTATTGTTACTGTTAGAGTATAGGAAAACATTGAGTTTCAGGATGGAAAAGGAAGTGATGTGATGTTACTGTACATACATGTAATCAGCTAGAACACTAAGTTTCCAACAATTTTTGATCCCTATTTATATGATTCTAATAATGTCTTGATTTTAAGGTGTGTTCTTCCCAACTATTGTGTTACACTATTTGAAAGATGGATAAACATGTTTTGCAGAGACATCATTATCATGTCTTCAAGGTGGGTTCAGTGGTTAGGATCTCCTTTGTTGTGTTGTTACTTGTACTATTTATATGTTTGTGTGCCTGTTGCTTTTGTATCTAGTCTTGTCATAATAATATTGTATAGAATAGAAACACTCTGTTGGTCCATATTAGTTATTTTAATATTTTTGGTTAAATTATGAATCAAAGTTAATAAAAACAATAAAAAAACAACTTGTAATAACCTATACAGTGAAGAGAAACACTTTTTTTTTTTACTTTTAAATCAGTAGCCATTCATATTCAACTCAGTTGGGAGCAGGCAACTGTGTCATAACTTCAAGAAATTGTTGAAGTTACATGTATGCATGCTTTTTATTTAATTTTCTGTTGTTTTTTGTTCTTTAGGTTCCCTGTAGTCAGTGGATTCTACAAGTTGTTGGAAGTTTGCATGAAGATGTGTGAAAAATTGTCTTTCTTCAAGGCAAGGTCCTATATTTCCTTAACTTAGCTGATCTTATTTTGTTGAAACCTGAGCTTTTTCTTTTTTGAAAAGAGTTTTAAGTCATGTTATGATTGAAGAATTTTTCCTTTGCATCTACATCCTGTATGTCATGGCAGAATCAATGTAGAGTTTTTACCAAGGCCTGTAAACATTTGCAGTGGGAGTTTGGAATGACAAGAAGTTATGCATATAAGTTGTGTGCATAACATGCTTGGGCCACATGCATTGAGGCAAATCAAAGTGCATAGTTTGAATATTCAAAATTTTTTTTGATTTGAAGATTACAGAAAATTCCCTGCATTTACTTCATTATCTACAATTTTTCAAAATAATCTAACAAGTTCATGGCTGTGACATCTAGTCTCGCAGTTTGATTGGTTCAGAAGCTCCCTGTGAACACATGTAGTACAATTTTGGTAATTCTGGTTGATACATGTACATCCTCTTTCATGTATGGACATTTTTATTGTGTAGCTGGTATATATTTCGTCCTTTGACACAAAAGTCACAATGGTGGTACTGAACTCTTATTTAACTTATGAGGCTGTCCCTGCTCAAAAGATAAAAATAAAGACAATAAAGAGCAAAAAGAAAACAGAGGGTAACTTTAAATAATGCCTGAAACATTTTATGGCAAAGGAAACCTTAAAATATAATTCTCTGAAGACAGTTTTTGATGAGTATTTTTTAACAAAAAGTCTTCTTTCTAACCATAACTAAGACCAGGCACCATACAAATGACTTACTCACAACATAAACATTACCAGCAAACTGAACAGAATGACTTAACTTTACCAAAAAATTAAAAGCAACCAATCACAACCAACTTGCAGTACTTGAATGTTACAGTGAATAACATCATAGAAAAACTGACCAATCAGTTTATATGAACCAGTCTTAGAACATTTGACTGACAACAACTATTCACTAACTCTGATGATGACTTCTGTTCAGGGTGTTGAAATGTCAGTCATGTTACCCTCTGGTTCAAACCATTTACTGCTGAGCGTTTTCTTAGCTGAAAATTGCTCCAATATGAGTCATTCCTTTTGTAGGCAAGTTTTCTCAAGAAATGAATCTCAAACAGAAATTATTAGATGTAACATATCTATGTAATGATGATGTCTCATGTGCAGTTTCATTCTATTCTGTTTGTATTAATCTAAATTGGTTTTGAAGTTTTATTGCATCAAGGAAGGTAAGGCTGAGACTGCCTGGAACCTTGTGCCATAAGTCACTCTTGCATGACAAAAATTGAAACAAGAAGCTGGAGTATGAGGTCACATATGCAAAGCCAGTTCAATTGAGCACCATTGTGGAGTTTACTTCATGTGAGGAACAATTTAAGCTTTATGCAGCCTGCATGGATGCTTGTTTGTAAACAAGTAATACAATAATAATAGTGCTAAAATTATAAAAATATTCTCAAGCACTTTAAAAGATATTCTATAAAAGTATTAAAACAATTAAACAATAAAATATGAAAAATATGAAAAATATTAAAATGGTAAAACTATTAAAAATGTTAAAACAAATTGTAAGCCAGCTTGAACAGATGTGTCTTAAGCTTGGACCTAGAAATGGATACACTCTAACTGTTTTGAATTTCAAGCAGCAGTTTGTTCCACAGAAGTGACCTGGAACAGGCAAAGGCACGATCACCAAAGGTCTTAAAATTAGTTCTTGGGATCTTAAGAGGACCCTGGCCACAGGAATGTAGGTGATAATCAGAAATGGAGTGTGGCTGCAGATACTGTTGAATGTATTGTGGACCTTAATTGTTAGGAGATTTATAAACTAAGAGTAATAACTTAAAATGAACGTGACAAGTAACAGGAAGCCAGTGAAGATGAGATAAGGCGGATGAAATGTGATCAAACTTTGGAATCCTAAAGATTAATCGAGCAGTGGCATTAAACACCTTCTGAAGACAATCTGTCTGGTACTTGGGGATGCCAAAGAGGAGAGAGTTACAGTAGTCCAAGTGTGAAGTCACAAATACATGAACAAGAGTCCTTGTGGACTCAGGACTAACAAATTGTACAAGCCATGAAAAGCCTTGCTGCAGATCTTACCAATGTGAATGGACATAGACTTATCGGAGTCAAACCAGGAACCCAAGTTTTGAACACTGTTGAGAGGCTGGATGGTAGAATCACCAATGGTGATAGAAACGATCGCGATTTTTGATAATTTATGGCGGTAACCAACAGCTAAGAACTCAGTGTTTGAATAGTTGATTAACAGGCGGTTATAAATCAACTATGCATGGATATCTGAGATGCAGGCCTCTACAGAAGCTATGGCATGGTCTTGTGAAGATCTGCCATTTGATCTAAATGACAGGTAAAGTTGTGTATCATTGGCATATCCATGAGCAGAGGGAAGATGGTTAGCTATCACATGACAGTCAAGATATGTATAATGTAAATAATATAGGTCCCATACAGCTGCCTTGTGGGACACTTCAGCTTAAATGGAAGTCACCAGATGTGTGATCGCTAATGAGAACATGTTGTTTTTGGCCAGATAGGTAAGATGCAAACCATCTATGGGCAGAGCCAATAATTCTAAAATCATTTTCAAGCATATTAAGGAAATCTGATGATGGATTGTATCAAAAGCAGCATAATTTCCAAATGGTCTATTGACATAACAGTACCACTTTGAACCTTAAGCAAGGCAGTTTCAGTGAAGTGAAATCTTCAGAACCCTGATTGTAAATTCAGCAGAGGAGCATTGCCTTCACAGGGCTTAAACGATTGAGAAAGAACTGCTTTTTTGACAATCTTGGAGATAAATGGTAGATTACTTAAGGGATGAAAATTTTTATAGGTTAACTCAAGGCCATTTTTCTCTAGCAGAGCTTTCACAATTGCAGTTTTCCAATCATTGGGAACGTAGGCGTGGCAAGTAGGCAACTTGACCTTCTGAGTGATAGAGGGTGCAAGGATGTCAAGGCAAGACTTCACAAGCCATTTAGGGATCAGAACCAGGGTGCATGAGGCATTATATGATGTACTGATTATATTACTAACATCTTCAACTGATAGAGGTGAAAAACTGTCAAGTTTTACAACTGGAGCAGCAGTATCAGAACAAGGAGGATTAACTTGGATATTATAGATGGAGTCCTTGATAAGTTCAACTTTTTCAACAGGGAGTTCCCCAAATTTATTTGTAAGTGGAACTGGATCATCGTGAGGCAGTAGATCACTGTCGCTAGGATCCTTACAGAGGAATGTAACCAGTTTAGGTAACTTCCTGGAGTCACAAGCACACCGACCAATTAAATTTGAGTGATAAGAAGTTCTAGTAGACTTGAGAAGAGCAGAATATTTATTACAGATTTTCTGATATGCAAGCCAATCTGAGGAAAGACCTCTTTTAGAGGGTTTCACTCAGCCTTGCAATGAATATGGTTTAACTGTCGAACATCAGCATTAAACCAAGGGATCCTTACACAAGTAGCAAGAGTTTTTGTCTTTATAGGAGGATGCGTATCAAGGATTTCTGATGGAGAAGTACTGCTTGGGTAAATTGCCAAGGTCACTCCAGTGTGTGTCACTGCAAAGTACAGACATAGTGATGTCCGATTTAAATGCATCAATGTCAATACTCTTAAACTTGTGATACGACACAGACTTGGTGGAGATTGATGGACTTGGGAAGTGGTTAAAGCACTCAACAAAGAAATGATCCGAGAGGGGAGTTAATGGGACCCAAAGTCATTGGTCATTTCATCACGCGTTGTGGAATAAAATGCCTGCACCACCACCAGATCGATTTTGATTGCCATGGGAAACTCTTGAAGAAATGGCCATGACGAGAAAGATCAGCAATGTAGACAGAATCTAGATCCTTTAACCAAGTTTCTGTAAAAATACAGAGACCGATGTCATTGCCAACGGCATGGTCAATGACTGTTTCAACTTTGTTCCTGACGAAATGAGCATTACAAAGGGCAAAACAAAGATTGTTTGAAGGAAGACTGGGTGACTGCAATGATCTCAGAGGCTTCAAAATGGTCAAGTTTTTCCATTAGAGGTGACAAGTTGAATATTTAATGATCTACAATCTCGACATGAAGAAGTAAGTGGAAGAATATTATGAACAGCTGTTTCTTAACTTGTTTAGCCTTTCCAGCACGACATCCTTGGTACTTAAGAATACCAAGGGCTTTGAGTAGACATAATGAAGTTTGATCCAAATGACTTCGACCAAAACAATTTGGGCGTGACTTGATTGATTGTTGGTGGGTGAAATAGCACGAGGAGGTGAGTAGGTGCGACCAGTAGAACAATGAGCGAGTGGGCCAGAATTTCTTTCAACGTCCTGACAAATAGCAAGGTGAAAGGACTGCAATAAGTAGCAAACATAACCATGTTTCTTCCAGGAAGAAATTGGTCATTGATGAAGCCCAAATGAAGGTAGTCTTCGAAAATGAAAAAAAGATCAATCCAATCCAGTTGCTTGAAATGAAACAGGAACTGTGTTCAAAATATGATCCTTGTGTAACCAAAGTAATAGAAAAAGTAACTGAAATATGAGTAAAATTAAAATTCTTTGGGAAGCAGCAAATGAGGCGGCTATATTCAATGAGCATACATTAATTTAACATTAAACATTTTTGTATGTCAAATGGGTCATGGGTAACAACTTGCTCTAAATTTCAAGGATGGAACTTTCTAGAACATAGTTTTGTTGAAAGACAGTGACTGACTGTGTAGAAAATTATACCAAGAGAGAGCTACAATGGAAAATTGTTCATTTCAGAGACCTTTGGCGACAACAGTGAGATTGTGTCAGTGATGAGCTAATGTAGAGTTTGTAGTGTGTTAAAGTAAGTTTATTGTGGATAATTACTGTACTGCCTCTAGGAGTCACTCCTTAGTGAGAGTATTACATGTTGTTTAATTAAGTAGTTGGGTGTGAAGGAGTATAGTGTTCTTTGTGTGGGTTCAATTATGACAACAAATTTTGATCTGATGGTTTTCCTGAAAGCCCTCAAAATCTTTATAAACAGCCAGAAAACCCCTTTTAATGCTGAAAGAACAATACAAGTTCAGTTAGACTCAAAAATCCCAAATTTTGGGTTTTCTTTTTGGTCGTGAAAAAGTATATTACGTTCATTTAAATTTTCATCATTTGAATTAACTAATGAGTGCATGCCTGAAATTGAACAGTAAAAATGGAACAAAGTGCGTAATTGCACACCTAAATTGAGTTCTTTCAAAGTTTTTTTAACAATTCCATAAATGCAGAAAAGGTAACAACATTTCCTCCTTCCAGATTTTCTGGAAGGAATTTTAATGTCAAAGGCACTTTTAATTTGGAAATTCCAATGGAGAAATCAGGGAAATTGGTCTTCTATATGCTCCATCAGTCGTCTTAACATCATTGACTTGGACAAAGACATCCGTTGCTGGTTAAGTATTTACAATCCGCCCCATCTTCCATTGTCTCCTTGGCATTTTTGGGTTTATCACCAAGACAACTTCTCCATTTATTTCCTTTTCCTGCTACTTTTTCCTCACACTTGTACTTGTTAGATATTCCTTCATCCAGTGATTCCAAACATGACAAACTAATTCTTGGATTTTTCTCCATTATGTATGTGTATTGTTGTGTCTACATCCAGTTCTCCACCCAGGTGTCTTATGAGAAAACGATTAGGGGTCGTTGCAGGTTAGTCATTGGGATCACTGTTTAATGGTGTTGGTAGTCTGGAATTCATCAACCTCTCCATGCCAGTAAAGATCATCTGTAACTCTTTGTTGTTTACATCTGCATTTCCTAGGATTGCGTTTACAGCCCCTTTCACTGATCTGATGATTTGTTCAAACACTCCTCCAAAATGTGGAGCTTCCATCCAGTGCCAGTCAATGCCTTTGTTAGATGTCATCCTTTCTGAGTTTTTCTTGGTCAAGTTGCTCCACTTACTGATTGATTTCATTGCATCCACTATTGGAGTCGGTGCCATTGTCACTTAGCATATTTTGAGGCCAACCTTGTCTTGTTAATGTTTGAGTTAAGGCATTATGGAAGCCATCTGTATCCAACAAGTATACTATCTTTGTGGAGGCACGGTGGCCTTATGGTTGGTGCGCTTGACCCTGGATCGAGTGGTCTGGGTTCAAGCCCCAGCCAGGGTCATTGTGTTGTGTTCTTAGGCAGGACACTTTACTCTCACAGTGCTCTCTTCACCCAGGTGTACAAATGGGTACCAGCAAATGTGCTGGGGGTAACCCTGCAATGGACTAGCATCACATCCAGGGGGGAGTGGCAATACTCCTAGCCACTTCATGCTAAGAAAAGCGGAGTTAAGCACTGGCCCATATAAAGGCTTTACTTTTACTTACTTATACCATCTCTACGTAGCAACAAGGTGTTTGGAGGCACAGAAACAAACATGGGCATTGTTTACCTCGAACCTTGGCATGGCCTTGTACTGTTAAATATGGTCCAGAGAAATTGACTGCACAGTGCTTAAATGGCTTGATTGTAGTTTCTAATCATATTGAGGCTGTGGGAGCCATTTGATGCAAAGCTGGCTTTATACCGAATCATCTGCGACACTCAGGACATTCTCCATGTGGCAGTACTTTGCCTGAGAGAGTGGTTTATGAAATGCCCCTCAAATCCTGGCTTTGTCATGATTTTCTTTACCACATTTCCTAACATTTCTCTTCTTGTTGGTTTATTGTAATACCACACCACTCCTCTTGGTTTGGACAAAGCATGCAAATAAAATGTGTTATCACTAATTTCTTTAGGCACATGAGACAAATACTTCTTGTACAGCTCGACTGGGCAACATTCTGCATTAGTTAATTTTTTATATGCATGACCAACTTTCCTTTTGACAAGCAAATGGCACAAACCCCCATGCTACCTATCACTTCGTATAAAGTCTTCCCTGTATACTCTTGCCTGTCTTCTCTTTTGACTTAAAAAAATCGTGCTAAGACAAAATCCAGCTGCTCCTCAGACATTTTATTTAGACTCTCATTTATTAATGGCCCGCTACTTTAATTCTCTTTTGGTACTGCCTCACTTCTTTTAACTTGCCATGGATTGAAGACTTCCAAAACTCATGCCCATTTGGGACAACTTGTGTGTGATACCCAACTTTCTTCGAAGTTCTCACACTCAAAGGAGATCAATCTTCTAAACCTCTGCCCTCCTAAAGAAAGAAAAACAAAAAAAGCCTTTAGTAGTTGGCTAAAGTATGGCCTTATAAAAAACAAAATTTCATTACCTTCAATGATGGTAGCTGGATTTTGAGCTCTGCGTTATGTTCATGACTGATTTATCTTCCAAGGAATCCTCCGTCCAACTTCAGTGCATGTATCAAAACCTTACCTTCACCTTATCAAAACTACCTTTTGCAACTCAAAACTTGAAATGACTAAATGCAATGTGTTTTATACCATGCAAATATTGTTCACATTAATGTTTACATTCACTCAAGAACAGTGTGATTGTGTGTTGGTTGTATACATAAAATACCACACACAAAGATGGAAAAAAGTGTTATGCAATTTCTACCTTCAAAAGGGAATTCATGCTAATTTCATTGTTTGCATACCAACAAATGACAAGGAAGCACCTGAAATTGCTAATATAATGCAGAGGGAGCACAATAGGAGTCAGTAATTGTAATAGATAATTACTGTGGCAGTCAGCATTATGAGATATATTGCAGCCAGCTGAGGATGTAGCCCGAAGCTGGCTGCAATATATCTCATAACGGTGGCTGCCTTAGTAATTATCTATCAAATAACCATTATTGTAAATGCCAGAATAAAACTCTTCTTTGGAAGCTTTTTGCCACTGGCTAATGCCTTGGTTTTTTCAGGAATTTGTCATTTTGTGCTTCATTGATGATCTGACTTTCTGCTCTCTTCAATCCGTCACTTGTTAGCTCTCTAATAGCATGCTATTCAATGAATTTCCATTAAGTGCCTCTGAATCGGTGAACCCAACTTTGTACTCATGCCATGGAAATTCCAAATTTGAGCTTGTTTGCTAGCTTTGTTCTTTACCATTTGGAAACACTCGTGGGGTCTGGCCTGCTCTGATTTTCTTCTTGACTGCTGGTCGTGAAACTGTTTAGCATGTCTTGTTAGGAGCAATTTGTTTGTTCATGGACTTCAGCTTTTAGCACCTTGAGGGTCTATACAGATCCTGTAACCCTCAACTCTGGCCAGTTGTCAATTTCTTGATTAAGGAAGGCTGGCACTTACACCGAACGTGCATTATCAATTAACTCCTTAACTGTCAGTCCTTGTGTACCATAGTCAGCTTAATTTAACTTTCCAGGAACATAACTATAGATCTAGCTGGACCGTACGAATCTCACTGATCGACACAACAAATATCGCCCCAATTTCTTTCTGTTAAACGCCTCCTTTATTAAATGTCGTATTTGACCGTGAAGCTAAAAATAATTGATTCACAAAATTAGGGACAAGAAATTAGCTATAGAAACACTCGAGGTAAATTAAACTTACATTGTTGCCGGATCTGGCGAGAGTTGACACAAAAAAGACCTTTCCTTCCTTCGATAAAAACGACAGACAATTTCTTTCTATTAAACCACGAGTGCTTGCAAAATCGATCGAATTATTGAATTGCACAATAGATCCGTTCTGTTTGGAAATGCGATACCACTTACGGAACGCATGATGAGGCACCTAGTGTGACTTTTACAGATTATTAATTAAACGATTACTAAATCAAAACAAGGGATAAACCCGTGCCTTAGGGGCACTTACAATAACCCCATTGATTGAGGTTGGAATCTTTGTGTATCTCTCCTACTTGATGTTCAATGAGAAGGCTTAAAGTTTAGACCTTGATTATGAATCCAAGAACAGATGTAACAGCTTGCAACGTAGTCAGTTGCCTTGTTTTGTTAAACTCCACGAGCCTTGCACACTAGTTTGGGTAACTGCTTCCATAATTTTTAAGTGGAAATACTTGGTGCCTTAAGTGGAGCGAATCTTGTTTTTGCTGAGATCAAACATCTACTGATCGATCTGTCCTCAAATTTGTATAGGGCGTAAACATACAAACATTAGAATGAACATTTGAACTGTCATATCTTTCTCATTGCTGTAGGAATCCTCTTGTTCTGGAATATCTTGGATCACTGTAGGTTGATGTGAAATCCACTCTCCAACATTTAATCGGGCTAGGTCCTCAAGCTCAGTAATTTTCTCCCATATTGCCTTAGCTTCTTCTATACTCTTAATGGACAGCATCAGATTCTCTCTATAACACCTATTTTGCACTGCTTCCACTGCTAAAGGAAAATGCTCTCTGTGGTAGTGTGTGTGTTGCTGACAAACATTCTGAACACAAAACGGACAGTAGCATCCACCAAATACAAATCCCTGAGACTCGTGTGTCTGGCTGTGTACTTGGATCGAGATCCTATCAGAGGAATCCATGGTAAGGCCAATCCACAGGCTGCAGAACCGACTGATGGTACAGCTTGCTAATGTCACCAGCAAGGGCTATCAACTCCTTCCTGAATCTCACTAGTGTGTCAAAGATGTAACTTGGAACCTGGGAATGTCTCTGTGTTAATACTTTTTCCTTGGTACATTACTGAGGTATCAAATGCGATCCTGACCTTTGTAGTAGTCGCGTCAGGTTGAATCACTGGAAATGGAGTTATAGCCCGTCAGATTTCCCCTTTCCTTCAGTGGGCATAATGTGTTCAATCTAGTTTTTCTGTACATACTTGTTAATAACTTGTTGGTAAGTAGCTGCTATCTTTTTACTTTGACTTTTCTGTAGTTGTCAATCAGCCAGGGGTCTATTGCTGACTAGTAACGGTCTTTCTTCTTTCTAAGGAACTGCTTCTTGGTACCATTTCATGTCAAAGATTCTTGATTCGCTGATCTTTTCCCATGCTATTTGCTTATCTGGAGTGAGCTGCTGCTTAGTAGATACAATTCCAATGTGCTCTAGCTGCCAGTACTTTTTCAGTGTGACAATTAAGTCAACCTCCTGTAAGGTGGAAGTTTTTTCAGACTGCTGTGTTTGGAAGGCTCTGATAAATCTGGTGTAATTATTCTCTCTCATGTCCTACCAATCTGTTCAAATGCTGTCCATCCCAGTGGGCCAAGCTTTGCATTCAGCCTTACCTGGAACTTCTTTTGTTGTGGTCATTAATTTGCGATTGTCCGCTGCAAGAAGGACATCACTCATTCCTCTTTTTGCTAGCAGTGGGAAAGGTTTATCTCTCAGATGGAACCATTTTTGTTTTGTTTCCAGATAAGCAATGATGTTATCCTGACCTCATCCTCCATTTTCTTGAATGGCTGTAATAGTTTAGTGGTCAACACTTGGGTTAAAGGACTTGTTCCGTTTGAACTTCTGTTTCCTCTTGGTGGGTAACAGTCTGCATTAAGTAAACAGTGATGCATCTGTCAATTTTGCATTCTTGGTAATTTGAACATGAGTTTCAAAGATGATCATTACCCAGACATCTATTACAAAGACCCAGGCACTGGGGTCTACCTGCTTGCTAACTTCTTCTATTTCCTTGTTTTTCTTCTTTTTATTCTCCTAGTCTTGTAACTTAGAACAAACAATCTCTTATACTTCCAAAATCCTCATTACTTCATCTCTCAACCTCTCCTAGCATCCTATTTACCTCCACTATGTTGCATCTATCATACTTCTCATCTAATACCAATACAGCTAACTGGTTAAGCATCTGAGTTAAATTGAACTTGACATTTTTTTTTCTCTCCTTTCAACACTCCAAGAACTGTATGTAATTTACTGTCTTGATTGCCTTTGTTTTCTATTGTGTCTATATTCTACCCAGAAAAACTGAATTCTGACATGTTTCTAGTCCTAGTGTCAGTGACTGATGTGTCTCTTCAAACCCAAAATCTTGCAAAACTGACCTGAAATAACCCCTACAATCCAGCTGAAAGGACCAAAATTTTCTGATGGCTTTCCTGACAGCCCTCAAAATCTGGAAAAACTGATCAGAAAACCCCTTCAATTGCGGAAGGAACAATACAGGTCCAGTTAAACTTCAATTCTCAAATCCACTTTTTTGTACATGCAACTGAACCTATTATGTCATTAAAATTTAAACCAATTGAATCAACCAATGAGTGCATGTCTGAAATCAAACAATAAAGATGAAATAAAGTCTGTTATTGTACGGCTCACAGAGTAAATGCCAACTGAGTTTTTTGAAAACCTTTATCAATTCCATAAATACAGAAAAGGTTGCAACAAATATCATACAGCTTATTTAAGTTGCATCAAAGGGATAAGTGAAGGGCAACAGCCTGTTTGTAAGCCATCTTTTGCTGCTGATGTAACATGGAAGAAAATCTGGTTTACATGATGGGTTGAGGTGGACATTGGAAGTTTGTCATTTCCATAGTTGGATGTGAGCTTTTGTGTACTGAGTATGCTCAGATACCTGATGATTTTGTGAGAGGAGATTAGTCTATATGTGTATACAAGTGATGTATTTAGCCATTGACTGGTAATCATTCAAAATTTTCTTGAAATGGAATTTATTTGAGTATGTGCCACACCTGAGTGTTAGGGGCTCTTTGAGATCCACTCAAACCAGTATGTTCATGTAAATAGGATTCATGCCTCCCTAACTATGTAATTTATTAGCTTGTTGTATGGAACTTTTCATTTCATAAGACTAAAAGGTTACAGCAAACTAAGAACATAGCGGTGACAGATATAAAAATAGATATGGTGATCCTTTTACAGGGGATCCTATGTCACCCTTACCAAGATGGAGGATCCTAGAACAAACTTAGATGTTAAATATGTTGGGCTTATAATTATATTGATATATTTTATGCAATTTTGTTTTTTAGAATATTAAGGCAGAAAAACCAGATCTAAGGAGTAAAGACCTAAATCTTGAAATTGTAGATACTTCAGACTGTATGACATGCTTTGTTCTCTTCCACAAGTTCACAAAAGAGGTATGTTATATGTACATATATATTAGAGTTTTGATATTAGGCATGTTGTGGTTGGTTGATACTGGGTAAGTTAGTGTTATCAACTGAGCTGATGATGTCAATTAGCCATCGTAAAGAGTCGAAAGGCTGATATTTCGAGCGTTAGCCCTTTGCCAGAGTGATTGGAGGAATTGTGGGTTGTGTGTGGGGTTATATGCAGAAAATAGAGCTATGCTATTGGTGGGAATATGGTGACAGGAAAACAAGAATAAATTAAAATATATTAAAGTTCACACGGCAACCAGGTGGACAATCAGACATAGTTTGAAGCTACGCTGGTTTGCAGATTTAATGAATGTAACCGAAGAAGTTACAATTCATAGACCCAACGTTTCGACACTCCTGTCTAGTGCCCTCATCAGGGGTGATCTAAACGCTGCAACAAGAGGTCAAATACCTCGCTTTCGATTCTCACCATCCTATTTGCCATAAGAAGTCTGTAGCCAAAACTTTACTTAGAAGGGCTGATTGTCTACCATCATCACTCGATTTGAAGGCTGAGGAGAGGAAATATGTTTCCAATGTCCTAAAGGCAAATGGCTATACAAAAACTTTTCTCCGTAACTGCCAAAAACCAGTTACAAATAGTAACGCTCTTGATGAAAGGGAACCAGCGACTGGTTTTGCTGTTATTCCTTACATACAGGGTGTTACTGAACCCATCAAGAGAATTTTGAATAGTCACAACGTTAAAGTTGCTCAAAAACCTTTTCAGACTTTGGGGCATATTTTCGCCAAACCTAAGGATCCTGTCACGAAAGAACAACGAACCAACGCCATTTATTCTATTCCTTGCAATGACTGTGACAACGAATACATAGGACAGACCAAACGCCAGTTTGGTACACGGTTAAAAGAGCACCAAAAAGCGATTTTTCTTTGCAAAAAGGAAAATTCAGCTTTATCGGAGCATACTTGCCTAACCAACCATACAATTGGGTGGGATAATTCTAAAATTATCACCACTAATCGGCGTTACCACCAGCGCCTTTGTTTGGAGGCTTGGCACATTAACTCCGCCCACGCTCCTTTAAATCGTGACGATGGCGGTCTGCTTCCTGACGCCTATTTACACCTCGTCAGAAAAAAGGCCGCTAATTAGTGATCATATAAAAGGATCTCTTGTTGCAGCGTTTAGATCACCCCTGATGAAGGCACTAGACAGGAGTGTCGAAACGTTGGGTCTATGAATTGTAACTTCTTCGGTTACATTCATTAAATCTGCAAACCAGTGTAGCTTCAAACTATGTCTGAAGAATAAATTAGTTGAGTGAAATGCACTCGATGATACCATGGGGATGAAGGGTGCCAATTTGGAAGATAAATTTTTGTTCCAGAGTCAAGCAGCTTTCTGACACCTATTTTTATGCAAAAGTTTACAAAGATCTCACTTTAATCGACCAAAACATTATTTCCAACTTCTACAGACAAATGAATGGAATAGCCATCAGTACTAAATTGGGACCAAGCTATGCCAATATTTTTGGAGGTTTCATCAAATATCTTTTTCAGTCAATACCACGACCCCAAACCTGAACTTTATGGCTGCTACATCGACAACTGCATTGGTGCTACCTCCTCTACTAGAGGGGAGCTCACTCAATGTAAAACCGCTGTCAATTCCTTTCACACAAATTTTAAGGTAACATATTCAAGCGAGTTATCTGATAAATAAGACATTGTCGAAATGGCCATTTTTTTAACGCTGACCTCGAAAAACTGAATTGTTACATGACTTAATAGTTGTCCAGAAAAGGCCCCTGCGGTTCAGAATTATAAAAGAATGAGGAACTAAACATTTTTATGAAATATCGATTTGAGAGGAAGATAATGCTGAGAATTTTATCATGGTCCGAGGATGATCCCTTTTCCCAAAAAGATACGTTTTCAAACAGAAAGAGTTACTGGTAGATGGACAATAACTATTCTAAATAAGTAGGAGTGGACGTTACTTTTGGGGGGAAAATGGTTATGGGAGTGCAGTGTCTCAGAGAAGATGATGTGATCTCATTCTTATTCCATGTGGTAAATTAGAAGTTGCAAAACGATAATTTCACTGAACTGTCTGGGACCCGAAATTGTTCAAATTCTGAGGAATTAGCTTCACTCATGCCAAATAATTGCCTCAACATTCTCTCCATTCACTTCAGTGGGTTCCATAATCAATATTGAGTAGAAAACTTCAACAAGACACTTGTTAATATGTATCATAGTGATTATGTCTTCTTTTTCTAAGC